AAGATGGACATTCCACTTTCAGATGTGAGTTACTCATTTGTCTGTGATATATAATTTTGAAATTTACTTTTGCAGTCACAGTCTCTGAGTTTCCATGGAAAAAGCAAAGGCAATGGAGCAAGCTGCATTGTAGCACATATAGTGTAGTCAAAAACCAAAGAAGATAATTGGACTTATCTAGTAATATTGAGTCCTTCACTGAGTCTGATGTTGTGAATAATATGGCCCAATATGAAGCAAGACTCTGACCTTGTGCTTATCATAGCTATCGAGAAAAGACAAAATTGTCACATTATGTCTCAAATGTTAGTTTACATCCCTTGTGAATATGAGATTGACACACCAAATGGTGATGATTCAGAGGCTGAGTTGTCATCTGTGAGTTATGTTCTTTGTCCTTGTTACTGATACTCAAATTACACGACACTACAGAGAATGATGTAGTTAATTCTTTCAAAGTATAGATAAATATGCTCATACATTCAATGTCAACAATGAGGACTTAGACCCAAATACCCTCCATTGCATGTTGGAGAAGTGAAATACATGGATGAGGATAGCATTCAAACATGGCAACACACAGATGTTTGTTAAGCTCAGAACATAGATGCACCTATGACTTTGATAACTTGCAATCAACAAAATGGCATGAAATATATAAGCCAAAATATAATTTTAAAGTGATGCAAGAATGTCAAATTTCAAATGGAGTCGGAAAGTGAACTCATAATATTTGTCATATGATAAGATCAAATATTATATCTATCTGAATAAATGTAGTATCTGTACCAGGTCTTCAACCATGGTTGATCCCATAGTATTGCCTTATACCTCTGTAGCTAATCTAACTACCAGATAAAACACAGCCAGCATAAACAGCAGTCTGCCAGTGCATCCTTTGTCATATCACATTAACTGCCAGCATACTTCTGGCTATAACCGCACAGATACTCTTCTTAGAGATACCAGATGAACTAGAACTTTACTATACATCAGACTTATCTGGCCAAGAGTGTGTTATTGAACTTATTAGTAGTCATCCAGAATAGATTCACTGTGAGCTCAGCATCCATGCACATGTATTTGAGTGTTTAATCTTTGAGCTTTGCGCTCTTGATAACATGGACTCACTCATACTATGTCTCTTTGATAATACAAGCACTAGCCCTAATTCAAGGATGCTGTTGGAGTGATAGATAGAAGCCATATAGATACCTTTTCTCCTGCATCTGAATGTCATCTCTATCATAATTGCAAAGAGTTTGTATCCCAAAACTGTCTCTTTAGTTGTGACTTCAATCTGAAGTTTACCTATGCACTTACTGGTTAGGGGGGATCTACTACTGATGCAAGTCTCTGGGATGAGGCACATGAAGGGGAGTCTAAAACTTATGCCAGGCAAGTACTTCATCAGAAAATCGCTGAGACTCGGGTATGTCTAGTTACATTTGGTAAGGTGGCACAAACATGGCATAAACATGGCACATTATAACTAACCTTGTTAATGGTTGACTATGAGATACCACATATTTATTCAATGTCTACTCTCTATAATTTGGATGTAATATTGAGGACCTTTGGTATAGGCCTACTATCATCTATTCTTTAGGAGAAATTGAAATATAATTTCATCATCCCACACCTTTGATCATCTATCTCTGAATTTTTAATGCTGATATTGAATATCTATATCATGCAACACCCCATAGTTATATAGTGGCAACTCTCTATGATTTGGCTGTAACATAGAGGGCCTTTGGTATGAGCTAGTCTTTTGAATAACATTTAAGTACAAGTTCATCATCTTACACCTTTGGTTGTCAACCTCCAAATTCTTGATAATGATATTGGATGTCTATATCATGTACCATCTCATAGTTATTGGATGACTATAGGCTGCCAGTGACCCATAGTATGAGTAATTCCTTGTGATTAGGAAAATGTGCTATATCTAGTAACATATGTAGGCAAACTATGTCATTGGGTTGATAACGACTAATTATTAATATATATAGAAGGACATCTGTCATATAGCCAAAAGTTTTTCTTATGGATCTGATACTTGCATCCATTTTGAAAACCAACAATATTATGAAACAAAGTAGAAGTTGCCATGGTGGTGAAGTTAAGAATGGATAGGATTATGAATGCATAGTAACACAGTATGACATCATAGACACAATTGCACTGGATCCTGGCAGTATCTCGTGCTTAATAGATGTAACATTGATGAAGAATAGGATTTAATTATGGAGAGCAAAGTATGACAAAAGGAAAACAAATATTTAACAGGCCTGCCCAATAACCCAGCTGCTCTGTATTCATCCTTCCTTCTACCTCACAAAGAACTCCCACACCATTCCATCCCATACAACTCCATACCATCATGTTTCCTCCTCCAAACTTCAGTGTACCCTTGACTTCCCTTTCTCCTAATGGTTCTCCTGCCTTTTTCCACACATATTCCTGGCCATCTGACCCCATTCTATTGATTTTGTTTTATCTGACCAAATAATCTTCTTCCAGTCTTCCACAGTCCAATGTTGGTGCTGTAAAGCAAAGGCTAGCCTTCTTTTTCTATGAGCTACAGAGAGAAGAGGTTTTTTCTGCTTGGTTACAGCCTTGAGATTGGCTGCCTTGAGGGTGTTTCTAACAGTTTGGATTGAGACAGGAGTGGAGATGATGGAATTAATGAACTTGGTAGCTTGAGTAGCATTTGAAGTCTTTCTTTTGAGCAGAGGAGATGGTTTCATAATGATTATGCTGAATGTCATAATCTTATGTGGGTTTATATATTCAAATGATATTAAAATCAGACCATATCAGTATTATGACACCACTTTAATTAAGAATATAATGTATAAATGGTCTGATTTTGTAATTTTAATGAAAAGTCAAAAAAGTGTCAGAATGAGTCATGTATTTGAAATTACCATATCTTGCCCATATATGGTTGGATTCTCGCAATGAATATCTCAAATTCGAGACAGGATATAGGGCTTCCAGACACGTCCCTATACCTCTTTGTTATCATTGAGTCCTGGCTTTCCATTACCCAATTACTTGAAAATGCATAAACATTCAGACACTTTTTTGAGCTACTGTAGAGTCTTTTTTTCTGAAGTTGCATGCTGATCATGGTTAAGCAGAATATCATCTGGAGCTTGGGATGGGAGATCGTATGTTCATTGACCTTGTGCTGTCGCGAGATATTATGTGGGAGTACCACACTCGTATTAGGGATGACAGCTTTGCAAAGAAACCCTCTGTTATGGTTTTGCAATGCAGTGTCTGGCCATTGCTTGCGTGAACAAAAGACGTGGGTTTGCCTTCTTCAGTGAGCATTGCAGTTTCTAGTGTCCACATGAGCTCATAATAATCACATAGATGCAAGCAGATCTGAATCATTATGTGACTTTCTACAAAATTCAACATCAGAGGCATAAACTTGATTGGGATCACTTTGGGATGGCTATGTTAAACGCATAGCTTGCAGCTGGTCCCAAAGACCTTATGGTCAGCTTATACCAAGTTGTTGTGCTACTTCTCTTCAACAAGGAGACAGAGATTGGATATAGACAAATCTCAGATGAGACACATATGAGCAAGTATTGGTTATTTTTCACAAGTTAGGAGATACTGATATGAGTCTCAAAATGGATCACAGGGAGCTGAGGAGGACATTGCAGAGTCTGGCATGCATGAACAAGAAGGTATTAAAGAAGCATCCAGTAGGGAAGGACGTGAATGACAATGTCATCTTTTACTTTAATCCAGAATTCACTGATCTGCAGTGAAGGTGCACATCAACTCTATTCAGGTAAAGGAGATAGTATGTTTGTATTGTGGTGAAGTACATCTACATCTCATATTTGGCTGATTATCCAGCTGCTCGCCATAGGTCAAACATGGTACTAGGTGTATCTTCTCTATCTGAGCTGGGAGGGTCAACTTTGCGCACATATGACTTGCAAACTGGCCACCTTATATTAGAGAAATGACTACACAGGGCATGTGACTCTGCTTAGCAGTCCTTCTAGGGTCATACTAGACTCCTATCCATCAGCAGTGTATTGAGAGTACATCCGAGTGCTGCCACACAAACCAAATATGACCAACAATAATTCAAACAGCGCAACTTTGGACTGTAACACACTTGACCAACTGGCACAAGTTGTAGTGGTGCAAAGGTTGCATCTATTTGTCCCTTCAAAAAATACCTTTGAAATAGTCGTCTAGTGTTTTATTTAACAGTGTGACCTTCTGTGACACAACACATATCCATTTTGATTCTTTTGAGTTAACCTTAGCATTACAATGTTAGCCTGTCAATTCAAAGTATCAAATTTGACTGATATGAAGACAGTCATTCACAGTACATTTGGTATCACCCCCTGTACTTGGCAACTTTGGTCGGCTTTGCATCAGCTTGAGAAGAAAAATGTCTTTACTATTTCTCCGACTGGCTCAGGCAAAACATTCACATTCTGGATCCCCCTTCTATTCAACAACAATGGAATTATCCTCATAGTGATGCCTCTGAATATTCTTGGTGAGAAAACTCATAATGAAGCAAAAACGCTGGGTTTCCTGGCCTACAATCTTTCTGCAGAAAATGCTACCGATGAAGCTTTCAATTTGAGTGCATATCATTTGAATATAGCTGTGCTGATGCTTGTTATACATGATAGGACATTGCGAAACTCAAGTACCACGTCATTACTGTCAGCCCGGAGCGAGTACTTGGAGATGCACAATTTAAGAATCTGTGGAACTACAAAAGATTCACTGACACTCTTTTCAATGTTACATTTGATGAAGATCATTGTATTAGTGAATGGGGCAAGGATTTCCAACCTTTGTATAGTGAATTGGGGAACCTTCAATGGTTCCTTCCAGATTATGTCTCTTTCCATACGGCGTCAGCGACAATGCCACCACACATTCTTCATGACATCCAGTCAAAACTTCATACTCAATCATATAATACTACGAAGATTATGTGTTCTAATGACCGTCCCAACATTCACCTGATGGTAGAGGAGATGAAATATTCCTGCAGCTCCATGCATGATCTTACCTGGATATTCTCTTTCAATGGAACCATGCCCCACGAAAAACTCATGCTGTTTACCAACTCGCGTGACAAAGCTGAGAGTGCTTGTAACTGCATCCATCTTGATATGCCACTGCGATCACAAGATAAGGTCATTTGGTTTCACTCTGGCATGTCTATGGATTTTTGTGTTGATATAATGGATAAGCTTGGTAGATGGGACATTTGGGGCATCTGCTATATGGACGCTGCAGGAATGGTAAGTCGTGGTCTGTGGACTGATGAGCACTTGAGCTCACGATATATGCATTAGGGTCTTGACTTGTGTGATACCACTCTCATCGTTCAATGGGGATATACACCATCCCTATGCATGTTAATGCAGGGACTTTGATGTGCAGCACGAGACCCATTACTAACAGCACTTGCAGTATATTTTGTCGAGCCATTGTATTTTGATACCTACTGTGGAAAGTGGAAGCACCCATCGCCACAGGGACACATAAGTGGTCCTGCTAGGAAGAGGGCAAAGCACACTAAGAAAAATAAGGACCACATTATTGACCTTGCTCACTACTCGAAGATTATCAGCACCACTGCTCTCTTTGAGCAGACACACTGGTGTTATGCAGATTTATACGGCCCTGAAATCCTCAAAATCATCAAGATGTGCATTCTGTTACCACGTCCACCATCTCCCAAGCCAGTGGCTTCAGTATCTGTCCCTGTTTTCAGCTCCTCCTCTATTGTAAACCAGCATTATCTTGCGCCAAACCCACAGTCAATCAAAGGCGCTGGCTCTGTAGACGTTCCTTCTGTGAAGCGACCAAGGAAGTGCAGTGCATGCAGGAACCTTGGTCATATTGGTAAGTGTTTATCCAATGCAACAGTGGTATCTAATGAGTTTCTAGCATCAAACAAGCTATGTCCAAACTATGTTCCCAGACTACAACAACCAAAAGTGAAGGCAAACACTGAGAAAAATCCTCCAGTGGCAGCTGGTCCATCATTAGCCTGACAGGTCAGTTGAGGAAATCGTCCACCTCAATCTCAAAACCACTATTATCCTCCTCGCTAACGATCTTTTGTTCCTGCATTAGTGTCATTCCTGCTGAAACCTGATCTGGTACTACTTGCAGGGCCTTCCGGCCGTCCTTCAACAGATGTATATTCTTGTCGTTCATATGCCCTGATAGTTTTTTTATTGTCTTCGTCATGGAGACAAATGGAAATTCCACCGCAGGAGAAAAGGAATCAAACATACTCATGGCGCAAAACAAGACGACGGTACAGAGGACAGTGGCACAGAGTGCGAGGATGCAGAGGATGATGATACAGATATCAATGATGGAGAGATCAAGGGTGCAGCACTTGGCATAGAGCTCTCTTTTGACTTAGTGATCCATGGCCAATCTGAAACAGAAACATGGAGTTCCCAAGAGTACCAGCCTTCTAGATCGAAGAAAAGGCACAGACAGGTGCCCGTGATGACCGAAAAAGAGTTTCAATGTCTCTTTTACACCATCCAGTATCACCTGCATCACAAACTGAAACCCCACCTCCCTTTCAACATCTCGGCTGGATCCCGGTACTGGTCTGCAGAGTTCTCCACCTCTCCTATACCAGACGAATACAACTGCCAGAAGCCTGACATAGCCCTGTTTGACTTCACCATCAAAAACATGGGGAAGACATGGGCAGACATCCTGTCCTTTGTTGAGCATACCTCCAGTGATCTTGCTAAAAAGTGAGATATACCAATGTTCTGGGGATCTACGACCAAAGCCTACCTAATGCTGAGAGAACATCTGTGGCATTGATTCGTCATTGGGTTTTTGATTTGTGCCAATCAGCTTCGCCACATTACTTTGACCGCTCTGGTCTCATTATATCCCATCCTTTCCACATCCATCAAAAAACAGGCCCTGTGCAACTTGCAGAGATGTTGGGTACACTCACTCTATCGAATATTTATCATTTAGGTTTCAATCTGACGATCCACATGTGTAACACTGCATGCACAGGAACTCATCCCAACTTAGCACATGAGGCAAAGGGCTGGGTGAAGGACAACCACAACAAAACATATTCTATTATGGAGGTTCTGTGGAAGAGCCATGGACTTTTCTGTCGTGGAATGGTTTGTTGTCGTATCATTGATGAGGCAGGGAACCAGTACACTTTAAAAGATTGTTGGGTGACAGAGGAGAAGAGAACGCACAAAATGACCATCCTGGAGATGGTCAAGGGCATCCCTAATGTTGTTGAACTCATAGACCATTGGGATGTGTATTACTAAGAGGTGCCTGACTGTACAGCATGCATTCATAGCCAATACAACATGGACCATCAGGATGACTTGATGTTCCACAACAGATTCCACTGTCACATTCTCTTGTCCCCCTGTGGGGAGCCATTATCTAAATTCAGTTCTAGATGAGAACTGCTCACCGCCTTTCATACCTTTGTAGTTGGTGAGTCTTATTGAGCATGTAAAATACTTGTATGAACTTTTTATTTTCAGCTCATCACATGATAATTGAGAAGCGAGTCTTGCATAGGGACCTCAGTCCCAATAATTTTGTTGTTCATGACGGTATTGGTTACTTCATCGGTTTCGATCATGCCTCGATTCTAGCGGAAGGCATAACTAGCACCTATTCGCATGGTACAGTAAGTTTCGGTACACATTTTAGCTGTTCATTGTTCATTTCATTTTTGCAGAGGACCATGCCCTACATTTCTATTCGTATTCTTCTGGCTATGCTGGATCTAGCCCCACTTGAGGTTGGTGCCAGCATCCCAGGCCAGGATGCTGATCCAAACAATGTGGACAATCTCAATGTGGACAACATCATCGACCAGGCTGCCAATGCTCTGCAGGATGTCAAATTTGATACAAATCTAATTGAACACCAGCCCAGCGATGACCTAGAGTCCTTATTTTACATTTTCTTCAAATTTATTGCTAAGTATGGGGGGCCACACGGCCAATTGGCACCCACCTGGTCCTGGCAAACTTTGCCATGGGCAAGCGCTTATGAGGCTTTGGGAAATGTGGACACCCATTTGGCTCTGAGTACAATCTGTTTTGCGAAGATGGGGGTTTTAATGCAAGGCAGATTCTTGGTCACTAAGACATCCAAATACTTTGCGGAATTCTGACCTCTCGTGCAGAAATGGGGCACCATGGTTTACAATGTGAATGCACCCCAAAATCAAGTAGAGATGACCCATGCTGGAGTCCTCAACCTACTTGATGTATTCATGAGATCTATTGGTGAAGAACCACCCATCAGCAAATCCTCTGATATCCTCTACAGCACTTTCCGAGCCTTTGTTGTCTCGTTCCCCACGACAAAAAAAGAACAAACAGACAACTTGGAGGATGCAATGAGAAAGCATCTGAATTTTTTTTTTTTGCATATGTCATCCCACAGTCCTCTTTCTGAGCACTAGCACTCTGTATTATGGACTCTAGAGCTTCCTTACCTTCTTGCAATTCTCAAGTCTCTTATCCTTCTCGTATTTCCTAATATCCTTCTCCTCAAAACTCAACTTGCTGTACCCTCTAATTATTACTATGTTGTTCAGAGTCATACTGTACCTGTACACGTACTCTGTTGTGCTAGTTTAGTATGTCAAACCATCAGCTTATGTGATACGACTCTGGGTACTAATTGGTAGCAACAGGTTTTAGAACTGAGTCTCGACACTTCCCACCTTGTCACTCGATGCCTCCGAAGAAGAGAGCCAGGCACTCATATGAAGTCTCCGAGGGTACTCAACAAAGTGAGAGATCTATGTGAGGCCAAGGTGGACACACAGACCAGTTGAGAAAAAGCTGGAGAAACCTTAGCGGCCCCAGCAAGGAAAGGTCGGAAGGTGACCACTCTTGACATTAGCGATGCAGAAGAAAACCCTATGGCTCTTTCTCAGCTCCGGAAACCGAAGAAAGATGTGTATAGTTGACATTCCAATATGAACTCCCCAAAGCTAATATTCTTACAGGCTACTACTAAAAGGTCTCTGACCGGGAGCACCAATCCTACTCAGTGTTCCATTGGTATCAACAAGAATGTCTATTCAGGACGTCAGCAACCTACTTCACAATGCCAACATTCTGGCGCATCTCTCCGAACAGCCCCAAGTACAGCTCAGTCTTCAGGTAGGTTTGTGTTTTGGCAGCCTACTTCAACTAGCAGTCAGAACATCCGGAAGGCACCACGGTCCAATGAGCGTACCCATGAGGAGGAGACTGTAAATCAGGCTCCAGAGCATGATATCAATGACGATGACCAGGACCAGGACCAAACTGATGGGGAAAATGAGGAAAGGTATGTCTTCTGCTACTATCTCATCCATCTGTTATCACATGTGCCCAATGCAGGGATGAGGTTCAGGACCAGGAGCAAACACTCAAAACAGGCAATACCACAGACTTCGGACAACATGAAGATGATTTGGATGGCGAGTATGAAGGTGAAGCTCAGGAATATTTAAATCGTCGCGATTTTGACCGTGAGCCCAATGCTGTGGATGATTTTCTGGATTGAGGTATGATGGGATGTCAACAATTAGCATAATGCTTAGGGATTTCAATCAAGGTATTGATGGGGATTTTGATGACGAGCTTGACACTCAGGGACAAGCCTGATGCTCAGGAAAATGCTATTGATGATGATTTCAATGATGAGCTCGACAACGCGGCCAGAGACAAAACAGAGGAAAGTGTTTTAATTTTTGTCTTGAGGTTAATCTTATCACATGTTCTTAGGAAGCTTTTGATGTTCTTGAGCATCATCAAATGAAGAATGAATGGTGCAAGGCTCCTTCCTTAACTTATCTATCGAAGGCAAAACATACTGAACAGAGACATGCTTCTAGCCACTCAAAGTCTCCTCATTGACTGTCACCTCAATGTGTGGTATCTACTGGGTCTTCTGCTCTAGTGCGACCTCTTAAATGTGAGTGCTCACCCCACAGTACTTCTACCCACTCAAAGTATCCAGATCGGCATTCAGTGTCACCTCATAGACACACATCTCAGCGTGTCCCATCTACGCGCCCTTCTTCCTCCCATGTGCACTCTTGCCATTCTACATGCTCAAGGTCTCCATATCGATGTTCAGCGTCACCTCATACACACGTATCCCAGCGTCCCCCCGCATGCAGTCTCCTCATTGGTGTTCTCCATTTATATGAAGCACTTCCCCCAGTCGTGCTACATGTGATGAGCCAGATTCATGCAGAAATAAGCGCCAGGCCAAGACAGCTCAAGAGGACCCCGTGAAGTTCGGCTTTTACCCACCTGCCTGGCAAGCATTTTTGCAGGCGGCGAAGTTAGAAATGCGCCTACAGGCTGTTCTAATGCATCCCATTCCAGATCATCGAGATGCACTACAACTTGCACAAGAAGTTCTTGATGCTGAATTGTGGATGTACCACGAAAAAAGATCAAGTTGGACAACAGTAAATAGGTTCCTCACATTGCCTGACCCCCTTTGTGAATCTCATCTTGCTTCTTAGGCTATTTCCCACAGTACACGACACACATGTTGTGGCTGGTAAGTGTCTCATTAATGGATGTACGAATTAAACTTATATCTTTATTGTCAGCTCTGCAATGATTTATTTATGTTTCGCACAGAGCTGAAGAAAGTTGTTATATCCATCACAAAAGCATCATACGATATCTTCCCGAAGGGCACCATAGTGCGCAAGGATGAGGTACAGAGATGTGTCATCGTGAAGGCCACCAAGTTACTCAAGACCAATGATTATCTTCGTATTCCTGATTCATTCAATGTATGGTTACTTGTTTACGCCTCCCAAGGCAGCCACTCACTATTACTTTTATAGGGCAAATGGAAGAATTTTGTCTCACAAGCTCTCAGGGATGGCTGCCTCGAATTCTACTATAGCAATAGCAAGAAGGCCCTCAAGAACACAGATGAATTTCAACATACAATACCTATCAATGGGCTACTTCTTGTGAGTGCTGTGGTGCGCCCTGTTATTTATTTTATTTGTGTTATTTAATCATTGATGAATCAACAGGTAAAGAACGTCCTCACTGGGTTTCCTGAGACCGGCACCGACAAAGTCCCTGACCTCTCAGCAGATAAATGTAGGGCTGACTTCAACTCGTTGCAGAGGTCTATAGACACATTTCTAGAAAATCCTGACCGTTGTGTGGAGCTCGAGGAGATGTTGGAGCAGTGGGCTATGATTGGGGCAGGTGACCTTGATTTTGATGAGGGTGGTACGGGAGGCAGTGATATGGACAATATCATCATCTTATAATCTAGCATACTCTCATTCAGCATTTTGTAATTTGTGACAATCAGCACAGTTTTTGCATCCTTTACAAGCCTGTATAATGTCCAGCAATTGCATAAACTCATACAACAAGTCTGACCTATATAACATGTCCCACCTACACAACATGTCCTACCTACACAACATGTATTTCTGTACAAAGGCACAGACTGTAACATTTGTATATATTGTGAGACCTTGTGACAGGACTGTAAAGGGGAGACTTTCTTGTGTGATTGTAAGGCTTGTACAGGCTTGTACAACATTGTACAGGTACCGGCTGGTTTGCTCATGTGACCCACACAGTAGCCTGTTGAAAATATATCATTTGTGATTGTCTATCATCCTCGAGAATCACAAACTGACCTTCAATACCTACAGAATGGCCAGTCCCATCATTAATAAGCACAGTATCAAATCGTGCTGGGACATCAGTGCCTGTTAGACTGGTGGCTACATGGTGAGGCTTGATGTGCACGCTATCCACCATGACACACAGATCACTGTGTCCCTGTGCATCAACAGATCACCATTTGACTATGTGATACACGGGAAGTGTACGGAATGGGAGGTGAATAGTGGCAGCAAGGTCTTCGAGGCAGAAATGAGTGGTGGCTTCATGTGGATGATGCAGCTGTGCAACATATCTCACAAGTGCCTCACAAAAGTACATGGCCCCATACTCTGTGACTAATTTCTGAATTGGGACACTTTTCACACTCGGATGCTTCATTAATGTTTGAACATGGGCGAAAGACAGGTTTGGTGGACATGGTTGGTGTCAAATGAGATTGCCGTGGAGGCACCACATGACATACCTCTCATGTCGAACGATCTTCTCTTTGTGTTCGAGCTACTGAGTCATTTGGACAAACTCATCTTTGTGGTTTGTCGTGCAATACACATCTTTGGCCAAGTCAATGTGGAGGCGCTCAGTATATTCTGTATTATAATTGTCAGTCATGCCAAAAGTCTGGATCATCGACATATAGTGCTGGGCTGCATGGAGCTTTGGAAGATCAAAATTATTTCAGATTCCAAGGTCGACAAAGATCTGCTTGTTGTCATGGAAAAGATCCAGAGCTTCCACGAGAAGAGTCAATGTTTCGGAACTATGGCAAGGATATTCCGCAAGGTACAAGAAGTCAAGTAAACCTCTGACAGCTCAGTGCAAGTTGGTTGGGGAGCCGGATGTCGACGATGATGCCAAGTAGAAAATGGCATATCTGACTATGCTCCGTACCACTAATTCGTGAGAGGCTAGTGATGCCTTTCATAAATAGATGAATATGGTGATTTGGGTGGAGCCTCTGACATCTGGCATCTATTTCGGCTGCTCCAAATGCCTTGGCCAGCCAACCAAGGAGATGCTTGATTAGACCCTGATATAATTGGTGGGGTACATCTGGTGTGATGGCTTGGAAGATGTTGGTATAGGGTAAAGGCTCCCAGAACAGATGTATAATGGGTTTAATTCCATTTTTGTGGCATGCATGCACAAATTTGATATCTCCATGGTCAATTGCAGCCAATGCATCAAGGACGACGTTAAGGTTGCGCATCTTGAAAGGTGTGGCATTTCTTCCAAGTTTGTCTGGTGGTATGTCACATTTGGGACATTCCATGGCTTTGACTCCTGTAGCCAAGACTTGCTCGGGGTAGTGACCAATGAAACAAGAAAATAAGGGCCTCCAGTGGTGCTAAGATATGGCCCATGCATGCATGATACAGGTTTGCAATGGTTCGGCATTGTGAAGCCTTGTTGGTGATGTGCTCGAGACAGGTGGTAGGAAGATAAGCGAGAAGAATATGGGCACGACGAGAGGGCTTTCAGCGAATCTCCTTAGGAATATTGCCGATAGTAAGGTAGACTGGGTAGGCTGTTTTATTTTGGAACTTCGTTACTTGAGTCTTGTCACTCGAAATGATAATTGGAATGATAGTAGCACCCAGTTTGCGCTGATCAAGCTTTTTCTATTTAATATGTCAGTTACGTTCAATGAGCGGAAGTCTTCAAAATACAAACTTACCTGGTTATCCCACCACCATTTACCAGTATGCATATCATGGAACAATTGGACAGTTTTTTCCTTGTCTGCATAGTGGCATTCTGGTGCGAAGACCAGAAAATCTGCAAAATCCAGGTCGCCATACAGAGCCTTGACACACTCGATAACATCCCTATAGAAAATGTCGAAGGCCTTGCCTGAAACAACAATTTGTTCACACCTGAACTTTGGGCGACCAGGAAGCTGCTTGTCGATGATCTTGTTCAATTCCCTTGAGTTTTTGTAGGAAAGACCAAGCTTTTCATGGGCCTGGCAATGAAAATAGACAGATTATCTACAACTCATGTGAGATTAATATACAGTCACTCACTCTGTTGATACTGAGTAAGTTTGAAAATGTGGTTGAAGTTGGACCGCATAATTTAGCCCACTGTGCAACTTCCCAGTCCACCTGAGAGTTGAAGGGGGCATAGGGATTCATAGTGTTGTTGATAATGGTAGCATACGCAGTGTTAGCATTGCAGATGTCATCTTGTGGGACGGGCTGCCTTGCTCAAGCATCAGGGTATTGCACAATAGTGATTCCATCTTCCTGAAGCACGTGTTCCTTGATCTGCTGACGCAACCCATGATCCTGGCTATTCATCTCTGTGCTGTCTTCTTCAGCAGCTCCAAGTTGGTCCTCTAAATCCCTTCCAGTCATGAGGGGTTCCTATTCAGCATCATTGAGGCCAGGTATATCATCCTCAGAATCTGAGCCATCACTACTTTCACTGCTGCTGGCATACTGTCCCGTGTCGTTAGGCCATTGAATTTCATCTTCCTCATAAGCACCAAAAAAGTCACCTTCAAACTCAGGATGTTGATCACCAACTTCTACCTCAGTTTCCATGGGATTATCTGAAGGAGTTGGAGTTAGAGAGCGGACATTTGAGCGTGATGCAGCAAGCACAGCCATGCAGCGTTGATTCCTGGTTTTAGCTAAATGTTGACTCAAGCCTGTGGCCGAAAAGTCGTGTAACATCCAGTGCATTGGACCATAGTGATAGCAGAGAAATATTGTACACCAATACCAGATACTAGCTCATCCACTGTTGATGTCATTTTTCAAGCTCCGCTACTGTATATCAATGATATATTGTCCGACAAGTCTGGAGGTCATATTCGCACACAATAAGATGGAAAGCTCACCACCCTCGTCTCCTGTTCCGTCAAGCAGTCCACCTTCATCCCCTGCTCAAATGAGCAGTCCCGTAATTCTGTCTTCACCTGACTCCTCAAGTCCATCTGGAATGACTCTCTGTAATTCAAGCCAAAGATTAGTCTCCTCAGGCTCTTTAAACACAATGAACATGGTGTTAGATGCTTCACATCTGAGCATTTCACAGCAAAGCAAACCTGCACTTTCTCAAGCAGATGAGAGCCTATTCTGTAGGAGTGACAAAACATCAAATTCTCGATTGTCAAGGAAGTATCTTCCATACCCCTCCAATCCAGCTCCATTGGAGCTTCGTTATGCAGCTCGGGTGATGAATTCAAAATTCCAACCGGAATTTTCATTGGAAGAAACACAGAAGGTATGATACATTTACTTCCAGACACCAATAACTCATTGATATGGTCTGAAAGCTTCAAGAACAATTGGAGAGCAGCCTCTCCCAAATGTTGACTCCAACCTTGTACAAAGGATACAAGGCCAAGCTCGCAAGTCACGAGGTTGCACGCCAATGCATGGTGTTGGCAACGTGGGAAATTGATGAGGTTGCACAATATGAAGCATTCCTCATTAGTATCTATGGTGAAATGAATGACAGTTCAAGATGGCAGAAGAGGAATTGCAGGGCTTCAGAAAGATTTTTTCACAGCATGGCCAGGCAGAACTTGAAGATGATAAGCAATATCTTCAAGCCGTCTACAAGGACGAATGCGAGATCCTCTGCATCAGCAGTCCTCGCTCAAATCAGTATGCCTGAAGTGCTAATGTATTCATATAAATTTCATATTTCAATGACCTTTTCTTGACTCAATCTCACAGGAATCTGGATCACGGACTTGTGCACGGCTGGAATCAGACTACCAACTGTGTTCCAATCTGTTCCTACGTCCATCCGGACAACTTTAATACCAAAGGATGGGCCTTGCTACATCATGCCGTATTTCTTACGTATCCTCATCACGATGCCAAAGGAACACTGACCTGGGTAAGAATGGAGGCTGCAATAAAGTTTTGGGTCATTTTTACGTTAAGGGGTGGCGAGAACAATCAAATTGGTCTACAGGATCTTTCAGTTCGACTTGCAGATTATGTGAAGCACAAGTTATGGATTCACAAACATTGTGATGGTGAAGTGCTAACGCTTCGTCCAGGGGATATGTTGTACATATTTCATTATTTGTAAATGATATTGCTGATGTATAGGACAAAGAATACTTCCTCCTGGCGTGGTACATGGTGTTTATACACCAGTACCATCATTTGCCACTGGCGGGCACTTTTACAATTACTCGTGCATGCACCTGATGGAACTATCAAGGTATATTGACACTGAAGTTGAAGGATCTGCGACAAACCAGGCTATGGATCACGCGTTAGAGACCTTGAGACGTATGGTTATTATGCTTCCATATCTGTCACCGAGAGTAGGTGAGCAAAGCGTAACTTTATATATCCCTCTGTCTGATGCTCCTTTCAGTGCTTCCTCAAAGATCATTGTTGAGTCTTTGCATGATGGCGTGTCAAGGCAGGCAATATCGGGCAGCTGGAAGCAACGCGAAGTCTGTGGAGGACACAGAAACTGTGGCTCCATGCTTTGATATCATTCAGATTGTTTATCAATTCCTTGGAATCACAAAGCGCAAGCGTGCTGGAGATGTGCTGTACACAGGTGATCAGCTTTACCCAGGTATCTTAGTTGATCATGTGGAACTACTACGAGCATTCAAAGACAATCTCGACCTATAGTGTTTGAAATCCTCTTTTGTCGTCACATTCTTAATTATTATATCTCATGTATCTCCTCCTGACAATGTTCAAATCAAAATTCATGTCATTTTGCATTTGCTGAACGACTGATATTTAACCGCCAGGATTCTCTCATAGGGAAATGTACTGCAAGCTCATCCCCAAGTATCACACTAGTGCTCTTCATGGGCAATGTCCGATGTGGCACTTTAAACTTTTAGGATTCTGCATATTATGTAATATATTGTATGGATCCACTCGCAACGAGGTGGCGTGATCATTAAACTGCCCCCATCATGTCCTTTTCCATTCCACCAGAGATTAAGAACCAAATCATGACTCTTGCAACATGCACACAATCTGCCGCTGCTATACATTTGACAATTTCACAGGTGGTACATCCCTGGTAAGCATTTCATCTAATGATGCGCAGATGGATTTCTGCTAACGAAATCATGTGGTAGCATGGAAAAATTGCTTTATCAAAATATCATTATACATGGACAAGAAGATGCCAACCGATTTTTACAATGTCTTTACTGGCGCCTCATGCCAGTTGAATTCGCTCACAAATCTGTTAAAGCATTATTCTTAGTTGGCTCAATAGAGCCATCAACTGTGATCGAGATTATCTCCCTCTGCAGCGGTCTTATATCTCTTCATCTCACACTCCGAAACAACCAATTTGCTATGGATGTATCGTCCTTGTGGCGTATACTGGATGTCCTCCCGCTGAAGTCATTAGTCCTTACCCTCAATATGCAGTTTGAACCCTTCCTCAGCGTGGCTCATACATTCACACATCTTAGCCATTTCGAAGTAAACAGAAATCACTTTCTGGGCTTGCCACGGGAAATGCTGGACTCCATTCAACCCTTGACTCACCTGTGTGCTGTACTCAGTCCGCACTTTGCTGATCCAGATGCGGTCGCACACCTCATTTCCAATGCACGCCTTAGGCTGATTGCATTTCGTGTGGAAGACAGTCACATTGATGTCGAGGAATTCCTAGAGGAAAACAGCATTTGCGATCGTAGAATTGTGCTCTTGCCTGCTGAACTCCCAGTGTAGGGTGAGCTTGGGCAAGGTGATATGTTGATTTGGGAGTTAGCAGAGGACCTGACACATGCTGCTATACCCAATAATTGTGAGTTGTTGTGTTTACAAAAGAACTATGGGTTATTCTGATAAAATACACTAGAATATCACCCATGCCTATCACAAAGCCAGATAAAAAATGCATACACCGATTATCTCGACATTCCGAAGGTACCAGAAATCAATCAATGCGCTGGTATGCGAAGGCCCACACGGGTACACATGGGGATGGCTAGGACAATAGGTCCACAGGTGTAGTGGTGTTTACGTCCACATTTTCAATTTTGATTCTACGTACTTGCCTCAATGATGGGATACTTTTCATGTATTTTGTAACATTTTGTAACACATGTGTTTGTTGACTGTGATCACGTCCAGCCTTGCATGGTTTGACACTTTAAATACCATGCTGGCCCGTTATTCCTGTGACATAAAACAGTTCTACCATTAATCTTTGCGATGAGGTTGATATTACCTTCATTAAAGTCATACAGCCATGTCCGCAGTCTAAGGCCGGTTCCACACATGTGTCCCATATGCGAAACGAGGACCTCTCTGCTACCAAAATTCTCTATACCATCGTGGACAATATTGCCTTCAATATGTGGGTATCAATTACTGGTGTCCTACATCAATCGCCTGGAAGGATTATTACGGATGGGTACTTGGACTTGTAATTTGGAATATAACCATGGCATCCATTATGAATTCATGGTACGTGTTAAAAAGATTGTAATACTCGCAACAGTTATTAATGAATATGATAGATGGAGAGAAGATATGCCATGACCATGTCAATCCGATAATTCATGGAATTATACACTCAATTATGAAGTCAATGTTTGATCTAACAAAAATTCAATGTATTCTCGATGTACTCCTTGCTCAAATCAGCACACCGGAAGCACCAAGGGATTCACATAATTATTGTATTGATATTACAAATCTCATGGCTCAATCTCACAGAAATCCGGATCATGGACGTGTGCAAGCGTGGAATCAGAAAAAAAACTATGTGGCAATCCGCTCACACATCCATCAAGACACCTTCACCACCAATGGATGGGCTTTGCTTCATCACGCTGTATTTTTTACTCACCCTCATAACGACACTGAGGGAACCCTGACTTGGGTAAGAATGGAGGCCGGCATTAAGTTCTGGGTGATTGTTTCATTGAGGGATGGAGCTAAAATCCCATTGGTTTACAGGATCTCTTGGTCATACTTGCAAACTATGCTAGGTATAAATCATAGATTAATAAGAATTGCGATGTGAAAGTGCTAACACCTCGTCCGTGGAATATGTTGTGAGTATTGTATAATTCTGTATATTTCACTTCTGATGTTTAAAAAGGTATTACTGCCTCCTGGCATTGTAAATGAGGTGTATATGCCGGTACCATCATTCTCAACTGGCGGGCACTTTACCATTATTCGTGCATGCACCATGCCTCAATATAGTTCATGTTGTATATTAATTCATTGGAATTACGAAGCGCAAATGTGCTGGAGATATCCTTTATATAGGTAATCAGCTGCACTTAGGTATCGAAGTTGATCATATGGAGCTACTTCGATCCTTCAAACATAATCTGGACTTGTAGGGTTTTTATTCTTTGTGCACGGTACAATTCCCATTGCTTATATATCATGTATCTCCTCCTCATATTGCACTTTCAAATTTTAATATATTTTATACTGGGGACACTGATAATACAGTACTTTAATTGTTGCCAGAATGACCTTGGAATACATTTTAAGGGCTAACTAATTGAATTTTCATGCCGCTGCGCTGATTGTAGCACCAACCTGAAGTAGAACCACAATTGTTCATCAGTCACTGCATACAGCGTGTCCACACTGACAACACAATACTTATATTGTGTCTACCATTCCCTGCAAATATAGTGTAAGGGCTGGAGAATGGGAGGTGTTGCCACAACTGGAGAAGCAGCATGTAATTTTCGTTCTTGAGCCCTCGCGCTGTACACAGAGGGAATAGTGACAAACATGGAAGTAATATATTGACTGTGCACACTTGTAATCGAGCCCCTTACTAGAGATTTCGGTTCCACTTTACAGTTGTGCCACAACTAGCACATAAGAATGTTTTGACGCTTGGTATAAAATACTAACAAGCTATTGTATTTGATCTTACCATGGCCTCACAACCAGTGTAGCAGCATATAATTTCAATTATTCAGTAAATACACGGTTTATGCAAGTAATTTGTGCAAAATAATGTTTTATTTGCCTCTTAATACAGTGGAAGAGCTGACGAATGGGACATTCATGCTGCTGGGTGTGGCACAACTGTAAAGTGGAACCAAAATCTCTGGTAAGGGGCTCTGTTAAAAGCATGCACAGTCAATATATTACTTCCACGTTTGTCACTATTCCCTCTGTATACAGCGCAAGGGCTCAAGAACAAAAATTACATGCTGCTTCTCCAGTTGTGGCAACAGCTTCCATTCTTCATCCCTTACACTATATTTGCAGGGAATGGTAGACAAAATATAATTATTGTGTTGTGAATGTGGACACACTGTATGCAGTCACTGACAAACGATTGTGGTTCTACTTCAAAATTGTGCTATGATTAGCGCAGTGGCATGAACATTTAATTAGTCAGCCCTTAAAATGTATTCCAAGGTAATTCTGGCAACAATTGAAGTACTGTATTATTGCTGCATTTCTATGCGCCAAGTTAATCTTAGACAATTCTCTGTATGTGATATACAACAATGATAATTAGAAAATGTCCACACTCAATCAGTAACTACCATATGGACGATTGTGCAATGCGCATTGGCACGTCGAGTACACGATGAACATGGACATGTCTAGGTAAGTAATTGCCATGTTAGGAGTCTGGTTATAATTTCCGGTGGCATGAGAACGTTATGTGATGAGAAGTTTATATATTTGCCCTTCGCAAATTTTTCTCTTTCTTTCTTACCATCACCTTCACTCGTGGTTTTTCGCCTCTATCGGCGTTCACCGTCCATAATGGTGGCCACCTTCTCCTTCGTCATTGTGTCTTCTCCCTTTCCCATGGATTTGATGGTTGGTGGTTCCTCATCTCTATGGGCGTTCATCATTGATGATGGTGGCTACCGTTATACATCGTCCTTTTTTTGATCTGCTCTTACTTACTTTTTCTTTTGGCCTTTGGTTGGTGGTTCCTTGTCTCTATGGGCGTTCATCATCAATGATGGTGGCTACCTTTTTCTGTTGTCCTTTTTTTGATCATCTCATACTTACTTTTTCTTCTTTTGGACTTTGGTTGGTGGTTCCTCGTCTCTATGGGCATTCATCATCGATGATGGTGGCTACCGTTATCTGTCGTATTTTTTTCTTCTCCTACTTACTTTTTTCTTTCTTTTGGACTTTGGTTGGTAGTTTCTCGCTTCTATGGGTGTACATCCTCAATGATGATGATGACTACCTTTGTTCGTTGTTGTGGGCTATTTGTGCCCAGTTTCCATTCGACTTTCGTTCACTAGCACTGCCGTGTCACTGCTCCTCTCCCTTTTGGCTTTAATGAATGGTGAGTAATTGCCTCTATGGTTATTGAACGTGGAAGACAGCAACCCCACTGGATTGATCACGTGTCGTTGCTCATGTTCTATGTCCTGTTCCTATCTATGTTGATTCCATTTATCATGTTATATGTAGACTATAGAAACACAACTTTGAACTTTGGTTCAGTAGTGTTCAATCCCTATGTTGCTGATATGTCAACTAATTGATAAGATAAACTAGCCATAGACTCATCTTAAATAGCACTACAATTTTCATCAAGATACATAATGATAATAACAACTTGTGTTTGGCCAAACTCATCAGTATGTATTTTTATTTTGCTCAAATTACTACTGATTAACAAAATACGACTCACAACAGACTTGTCTCAACTAGTATTACAAGGATAATGCCAACTTTTATTTTTTTTTGCATTTTTCAGAGACTTACTGGTGTTGGGGTTTTATTTAGCTTTATCTCTCTCAAATGACCGCCAATTAACAAGGTGAGACTAGCAGTATATTTGTCTTTAGTACTACTACAACATTCATTAAGATATCTAAGTGTGTAGTACCAATCGTTCATGTCATACCCATGGGTATACCCTCTATGAGTGTGGGCATGAGTAGCCATCTCTGGTATTCATGAATAAACCCACACCCACCAGTGTGGGTGTGGGTTTTTGGTGGGTGTGGGTGGGGGTATCACTACAGATACCTATGGGTATACCCATATCATTCCCTAGTTATGATGCTAGGTCATGTGCAGACTGGGATGATCTAATCAGCGACAACCACGATAGTGGTACCAATTGCTGAGGTTCTTTGGCTCCTACAGACAAGCAGGAATTACATATGCTTGCATAGCTCGGTAGATGCCAAGGGTTTATGGGCGATTATAGTAAGTTACAGACAGAAGGGTTCTTCTGAAGGTACAGATCAAATGTTGAGCAGGTAGCTTTAGCAGGACAAGAAGTTCAAGGTAAAACCCAGGAAGATTAAAGTAAGGAACATCTACTTTAATCTTCAACCTTATATAAGGCTACTCTATCATGTCTAAGCTCAGCTTGAAACTGGGTTCTAATCTGCTTATCTATCGAGTCAGAGATACCATGCATGAGGCAGGCTTCTATCTAAGATAGGACCATGAGGTGTCCTTCTATCAGTGCATGAGGCAACATGAGGCTTGCCTTCTATCTTGATAACATAAATAGGTCTTCTAGACCTATGTCATATGTGGTTCAGACCGCTCATCTAAGCCGGCATCTTCCGGGCTTTATCTTCTTCTATCTTCTATCATTGAGGCCTAAAGGCCTGTGTATTGTATTATTGCTGTGCAAGGTGGCAGAGAGCAGGGTGGTAGCTGGGGGCTCATGTAGCATACTGTAACACCTGAAAGCTTCAGACAGTGATTCACTCATGCTTTCAATCAAGGAAATTACAGATATTAAGTCCCAGTTCAAAGCTATTGAATCAACAGAATGGAAGTGCAACGAGTACACCCTTGTACAAGTGTTGCTCCATGCATTACCAGACTTCTATGCTCCGCTCTCACAACTTATCCTCCATAGTGCTGATGCAAACACTGGAAAGTTGACACTTGAAGGTGTTGTTAATCAGGTCCAAAACTCTGAACAGTACTATGCAAGCTTTGGATCAGACAACCCACATGCGCATCACACTGTCATGGCGGCCAGAGCTATCAAACCAGGGAAGCCAGCTGAGCATCTGAAGCCGAAGGAGCTCGATGTTACCAAGGGTGACAAATGGGAACTTTCATGGTGTTCTACATGTGGCCCTGCAAATGCATAGGACATATTTGGCATAATTGCCGCATGCATCTAGCAAAGACAGATTCCCCAAACACATCAGCAAAAATTTCATTGTCAACCTCACAGATCACTGATCTGCCAACTCCTGCTCTAGCGCAACATAATATTGTCCCATCATTCCTTCGCCTACCCATACACAAAGCCAGCCTTTCTAATGCGAGTCATAGTTCCCTCACCTTCCATGTAGATTCTGCTGCAACCGCACATATGGAGTCTGACTACTCTCTTTTCATGCACTACTCTCCCTATAATCCACTTTTAACCGGCTCATCCATATGGATATCTGGGGATCCATTGACACTGCAACTGCATCTGGAGAAACATATTTTGTTGCCTTCACTGACAACTTCTCCCAATACTCGACATTCTACCTCATTAAACACAAGAGCAATGTGCTCTCACATCTATGACAATATATTGCTTGGATCGAAAATCAATGGCAGGGAGTATATCTCTGGCGCTGTCATTTACTTCCTGCATGATAATGGTATTGAGCACGAACTCATAATGTCATACACTGCAGAACAGAATGGGGTTGTGGAATGAGGCCATCAAACTATTGTCACCCATGCCCTGAGTGCGCATCATTAGAGTGGATATCCTCGATTTTTTTGGGGATATGCTACCTTGAATTCAGCATATATCAATAATCTCCTTCCTTTATCAGCTATCGAAGAGAAGACACCTTTTGAGCTTTTACATGGATATCCACCGGATGTATCACACTTGTGTCCATTTGGTTGCCTGGCTTTTGCACACATCCCCGATGCCACGTGACACAAATATGATTATGTGTCACGACAGTGCTTTCTGTTGGGACACATGAAGGACACTGGCTATTTGTTGTGGGATCCAGCAGTGTGTAGGACGATGTGGTCTCGTAATGTTCATTTTGACGAAAGTATTTTTTATGGAATGCCTAACTCAATGATTTCTCCACTTGTAGGGCTCTATAATCAGCACATTCAAGCACGGAAACCTATCAGTACACCGATTGTGGTGATGGAACCAAAACAAGACCCAAGGAATAATTCGGAGATTTTGGTCCCTGAGATTACCATTGAAACAACAATGCTAAGACCAACTGTTTCAGTGGGAGTTCCAATGCTTGCAGCTTCTGTATCATCCAGAGAACCACTCCTTCCTTTCCCACAACCTGATGACAATGCAACAGATGCCAATATAACATCAACTGTCGAAGACCTACTACAGAACGCCTTGATCTCAGAACCACTACCACACCAATCAACTTGTCAGTGCATTGAGGCCACACTCCCTCTCCCATGTTCGGTTGCAATCCAAGCCAAACCTACTGTTCCTGTCAATCGACAATGGACCTATGTACCAATAGACACACACACAGGTACTGAAAATCAGGATGACGAGTTGTTAGAAACCAATATTGAACATTCTGCTATGCTGGTATCCCCTCCGAAACTTGTTGATGGACAGAAACAACCCCCACAGACATCATCCCAAGCATGCATATCTACTAAAGAGTCAGCCTATTGGGAAAGTGCCATGGTTGAAGAGCTAGCATTGTTACAGGAAAAGGGCACTGGCATTCTTGCCCCCCTTCCTACCGGTCGAAAGGCAGTTGGTTTACGCTAGGTATATGCCTACAAATATGATGAAAGTGGTCAGATTGTGCGTTATAAGGCACATCTTGTAGCACAGGGATTTTCACAGATTGAGGACCTTGATTATACTGAAACCTTTGTACCAGTTGCAAAATACGATATCACATGTGTGTTTCTCTCAATGGTAGCAAAATTTGATCTCAAACTCAATCAAATGGATGTCAATATAGGGTTTATCAATGGCGAACTCGACGAGGACATATACATGCGCCAGTCACCAGGTTTTGAGGATCCCGTGTACTCAGATTGGGTTTGGAAACTTTTGAAAGCTATCTATGGCTTGAAGCAAGCTGTGTGCCAGTGGAAGAAAACACTTTATGATTATCTATGGAAAGAGGGTTTTGATTTTGTGCATAGCAACACAGATTACAGCTTATATGTTCTACATAAAGGCAACAAAACCATCTGGTTGCTCATCTATGTTAATAACATGTTACTTACCTCTAACTGCAGGCAGTTCTTCAACGATTTCAAGGGCACACTGAGTAAGTGTTTTAAAATGACGGACCTGGGAGAAGCACACCATTTTCTAGGAATGCATATCACATGAGACCGTCCAAAACAACTCCTCCAAATCAACCAAATGGCCTTCCTAGAACAAATCCTCACTAAGACAGGAATGTCAGATTGTTGCCCTGCATCAACACCTCTAGTACCAGGTATTTCATTGTCCAAAAGTACAGCTCCCCTTACCGATGCAGAGAAACACCAATTCGCATTCCTCCCATATGCTTGCACCATTGGCGAACTCAACTTTGCTATGCGAGTTAATTGTCCTGATATCGCATATGTGGTATCCACGTTGTCGAAGCTTTTAAGCAATCCTGGCACTGAACATTACCACCAGCTTCATCATCTACTCCAGTACATTCATGGAATGGCTCAGTACTCTCTGTCTTTTGGTCTATCTGACCAAGAACTTACAGGCTATTCAGATTCAGATTTTGCATCTGACAAAGACGACAGTCAGTCAATTGGTGGATATGTCTATTATCTCTTTGGTTCCTCCATCAGTTGGCGATCTCAGAAGTGGCTTGACACAACAGTGGCAAAATTTTATTTGTCTCATGTCTGGTACAATAATCTGGGAAAATAAAGCATGAGATATGCAGACCTATATATAGCAAGGGTCAACAAAATTACAACAGAAGAGGTGGATTTCTTTAGAAGGAACCATTTTGTTCCTTCTGAGGGCAAATGCCAAATCGTCCCTGTTGGATTCATAGTTATCATTCCAATCATTTCTTTGCTGTCATTTTCGACTATCAGCAATGGATAGCATATATCCTTGGTTGCTATATTTCCAACTCTGCAATGGACGTCAATGGGGTTGATCTGCTTCAGAACTGATGGAATCAGCGCAATATGATACTTCTTTTCATAAGGAATATATGTTCAAACACAATTCCTTTGTCTGTGTCCACACCAGCCATCAATATAGTGATAGTCCTGCATTATAAGTTGACCTTGAAAGAGATGCAATTAAGTTTTCAGAAGATGAGATAGAAACCTCACTGGACATTGACAGTATCATTTGGATGACAAAAGTGTTCCGATGCAGAGGGTCTGTGAGGATTTATGTCACTTTGTCTTTTTAAACCAAGCCTGGTATGTTCAAGCACAACCATGCATACATCAACATCACAATTCTGCAGTCTGAAGAAGATGCTGATGCTCCTGGTGGGCAAAAGGAATAGCTATCCAAAAGATTCCCCATGTCTGTGATCTCTCACACCTCCATTGGGCACATATCTTCTGCTTTCTCAATGCTCAATCTTTATATTGCCTTCCTGAGAATAATACACTAATACCCAGTGAACAGTCATAGAATTATGCTGATGCCAAATGTCTTGAATATCTTTTAAAATATAATACTACTACCATCCATAGGGGACTCCACTGATGTTAACTGGGCTCCTTACCTTAAGCACACTTTGGATGAGGCAAGAGGTAGAGATGGACACAAAGGTGGATAGAGACCTCCAAAAATGATATCACTCTCTAATGATGACTTTAGAGATGTGCAGGACCATATGGAAGCTTGCATACATGATGGAGAGGGGGAGCTCAGCATGTATAAGTCATCATTCTTCATTCTAGAGGGAAAGGAAATCAAGCTTCTCACAAAAAACGACAGAGGAGGCACTTCTCAGAACCAGAAGAGGCTCTGCTTCACAATCTTTCTGATCTTAGCTGGGAATATATGATAAACAGGAGACATGGAGAGTTGCTGGTAGACATCAGCATCTCATTTACTCCTCACTCACCAGAGGTTCCAGTCAGTGGTTTATGGAGATTAGATTCATTGGAGGTATTATTTGGTGCAGGTGGCTATAAGTGTGGCGAGATGCATCATCACAACATGCTCTTCAGATATGGCGCACTTCAGACAGAGATACAACAGGAGAGATCCCAGAAGATGCATATTGCATTCAGGAGCATTTATTGTGGACCTTGCACATCCTTCTTGGTGACTAGCAGGCTAATTGATGGTCTTCCCGGCAACAAGACACTGTTCTCTGTGCTCATGTGAGAGACAGATATCATCATAATACTCAGGACTAATGCCATCGAGATCAGGGAGTTGATTAATCGGCCAGAGTTAGAGTATATCATGAAAACTCTAGCTCCATTGAATGCACCAGAGGACATAGTCATCCAGATTGTAGCATGTGAGTAATAGAGATGAATCTCTGATGACAGAGGTCTGGTATTCATGACTTACTTGGAAGATGGTGAAGGTCTTGCAAACAAGGTGAGCAACTTGGCAAATCAGTATGTGCATATATTGATTACAGTATCACAGGCTAGGTGGCCATTCTATACTTCCAGAGCCCAGTAAATCATAGACTGGTATTCAGGCACATATCTGGTCATGATTTGCACAAGTGTGTTCAGCATGGGTAACATTTATCTACACATCTGAGTTGTCATTCACCAGAAGACTCCTTAGAAATGACGAAGATAATTCAGGCTCAAGGAAGAGGTGATAGAGATGGCCGGCCAGTGAGGTGCTATATCTTGCCATTGTTCACCCCTTCTAAAATCACTATTGGACGATGGAAGGTGGACCACAAAGGCCTGTGGTACACGAAGGACTATATATACCATTATGGTTTGAGGTGTTGTTTTCGCTATGGGTTGACCCTCTACATTGACGGCAAGGGAATTAAGTGCAGACAGCATACATAAGTTAGAGCAGTGTACAAATGAGTAAGCTAGTTATGTGCATGAAATCTAAGATAGTCCAACTGCTAAGCCACAAGAGTTAATATATAGCTAACTAGGACGATCAGCTTCATTTAAGCCGGTAAGATAGATCTAAAAGGCAAAGAGTGAGGCATGAACTAAGGCAGCCATGGGAAGTGACTTATGCCAGAGGTATGAATCATATGATCTCTGAATGTCAGTTTGAGAGGAAAGAAGCTACAGAGGCTAAATCATTAAGGAATAGGCAGAAATAAAATAAGAAATTGACACACCATTGACCGTCTGTACCGAGGCATCGCTGCAAGGAACTCAAGTAACAAATTGTATTGTTGGCTGACCACTCGTGCTCATGTCACTGGCAACAGGCACTGGATGTACCAGATGTCATGTAGACCTATATAGTGCACTGTAACTCACATAGCTTCACACCAAAAGGTTCTGGCCATATACATGAGTAATGTGAGTGGTGAATGCAGACAATCTGCATGATGAAATGCAAGAGCAAAGGCTACCCATTGCTGTATCATTGATTCTGGAAAATCAGTATAAGTCAGTTAGCAACAATAAAGCATAAGAAATGAGTGTTAAAGAGATGTTTGCTTTGAGTAGAGTAATGACAAAGCTTGTGATGCAACTCTAGTTGCCAGTGTGCGCAGTAGAGCATTTGTTCTTTAGCAGTTTTCCCAGGGTGCCTTGGCACTCAGGGACCTAGAGGGTGCAAGTTAATAGCAGATGTTCATGGATCAGTGCCTAGGCAACTGAAAGTGTCTGATGTGATGTGGAGCCATGCAAAATGCATGTATTGGCCTCTGGAATGAGCAGGCATCCCGATGATACTATCTGCATAATGAACAGTGATGGACAGAACATGATATTTGACATGTGTTGTCCTAAGTGATGATAGTGGTTGAAGATGAGGAGAGACAGATTACCTAAGCTGTGAGGCAGTTTATCGTTCTAGGGTTGACCTATATTATTATTATTATTATATTGCCCAAAAGTGTTAAGATTAGGGTCAGGTAAATATATGGAAAGAAAAGAATGTGTCTCAATACAGATCATCAAATGCAGGCAGGTCCACTTAATGGTCCTGCCTGGGGTCTCATGATCTGCCAAGAATATGCTGAATGGTATGCAGGATTCATTAGGAAACTAGGGTTTTCCCTGATTTGACTGATATGACTGTATGACATGACTAGTCTGATGTCAGATCTATCAGAGCATTACGATGTAAAACTAAAAGTCAATCAGTAATATCATATACAAAATGATCACAGTCCAACAGAATACCATAATGGTCAAACATATCAGACAAAGTAGTCAATCCTATTCACAGACTATCGTGGTTGTCAAACACAGTAGGCTAGGCAGGATATCAGTCTCTCAGGACCACTGGACAATCAAATATATCAGACCAAGTCAGAACACAGTTCTAACAGACTTTCAATATTGTCAGACCTATCAGATACATCATAAGCACATATATACAACATAACTGAAGTTAGACACATCAGTGTGATCAAGCACTCAGATATTCAGCCTATCTGATGGTGCAGACACCTCAATAATAGCAGAGTCCCAGTCTGGCATATATTTTCAGTTATCACAATGTCAATATTGATAGATTCAAATAATATCAGACAGCTCAGGTATTTCAATGCAATTCTGCAGTTCCAGTCTCTCCATGTATCAGAATATCTAGTAGATACTTGCTTGTGAGTGATCATGATGGTAGGTGGGTATATTCACACAGATTCCAAATCACAATTGACAACCCAGTGCTGCACCGAAATCTGCACTGGCTGCCAGTGGAACAGGTATGTACTAGTTAACTTCTTCCTGTTTTTTAATTGATTAAGTCAAAATTAAGGCTCACTTGCATCTGGAAATACTATCCATCCAGGCGGTTTTGAGGTTGAGCTCAATGATGATGAGCAGCCTGGACCTGATCAAGGAGAATAAGACCCTCTGTTGACATGTGTTGAAGTAATCAAGGTATTTTTCTTTTCTTCTTTTTGCGTGTCTTTCAGCACACTAACTACTCATTTATCTTTACTTTAGAATCCTCTCTCCAACAAGGCAGCCCAAGCAACCTCTACAGCAACATCAACTCGCCCTACCCCCAATGAGCCTCTTTTGTGTTCTTCTTCCAATGCACTTCCTTCGTGTCCTTCCTCCAAAGCACCTCCTTCTCATCCTCCTTCGAAAGTGTTGATTTCGAACCATACTTTCGGAGAACCTCAGTTCTCACATGTGCTTGATGAACAGGCTGGGATAGGAGACCAGGAGCAAGTGGGCAGTAGATCTGGTGAGACTGACATGAGAAAGGGCGAGGACATGCACTACTTGGGAAACAAGGTTCCTCCCCAGAACCTGAGAGGGCGAGACCATACATGTGGAAGGTGCATATTTTTTTAATCTGTAACCCATTAATCTCACTAATCACAACCTTTCAGCTTAAAGTAGTTGGTCACACAATCACTCATCCTTCTCCTGAACATCAGAGCTCAGCAACCAATTCCATGCAAACAGATCGATTGAAGACTAGCTACAGCAAGGTAATTCAACTCCCTTTTGTCTCTCACTTTTACTAATATCTATGTAGTCTAATGAGTGTCATAACAACAGGGCCACAGGACATCAGAAGCAACAAGGGAAAAACAATGCTACCTCTCACAAAGTAAGGTTTATTTTTACTCTTTGACTTCACTGATGTTTTCTTAGTCTGTGACAAATGCACCATGGTCCACACACAACAACAGCAAAGACAATGACGACAATGACGACAATGACAGCAGTGGCAACAGCAAATCATTGCAAGTGCCACATACTTGTGTCAAATTCATAAAGAACAACCTTCCCCCAGGCTTGCCCCATGATTTTGATGCCCTCATTGTGCCGATGTGGATTGATTTTATTTCCACCCTCGACAACATGTGAGATATATCCGATTTTGCTGACAAGATGCAAAGGATATGGGACCAGCCATCAAGCACACTGTTTCCAAGTTAAAGGACCCAGTATACAAAATTGTAAGTGCTTACTTTAACTTGTGCAGGCTGTTGTAACTACTTTGACTATGCAGTTGATGCAATGAGCATATGACTATCGCAGCGACTTTGGAGAGCGCACAAAGATCGTAATCGCAAAGTATATTGAGGAACAAGGCTGGACATCTGACGAGATTCAACAAGTAGTTGCATACATAGTTCCCGAGGAAATTACATTGGTCAACAAGAAGGGACAGAAGGTCTTCATCAATCCTCCAATTTATCCTTACATGTGGAAAGAGTGTCGTGGAGACGAGAAAGATCCCGACACAAGTACCACAACTTTATACCGAGCCAATTACTGATGTCGTTGACAGAATTATTATGGTGCTTTCGAGGACCAATGCATCCTTGATACATTTGTGCTATATCTTGAGCATGTTCACTGCCTCCCAACTACATACTGTTCTGGAAACATGCCGAAGGGCACACTGTCTATCGCCACAGTCACAGTACGTCTTATTCCTTGCTCAAGATACCATCATGCTGATATTTGTCTATAGGTCGAACAAACATGGAATATGTGGAAGACGAGGCATTTTGTTCAACCAACCAAGGCTTCTCAGCGCCAATTTGCAGAAGGACTCTGGAGCTACAGCACAGAGCTCATCATGGAGTCCATTGACGGAGCCACTCATTGTGAATGGAAGAAGATCTTCAAGGGTGCGGCTCCATTCATCAATGCTCATCGGAAACAACTGACTCAGCGCATGCAGTTACAGGCTAAGGGTAAGGGTGTGAATGGTTGAACTGTCTGTGTAGATGTAGATTCTCATTCGGATTCTGCTTCTGATATCTCGCTCATGGCCTAATACTCGAATTACTCTTCTTTGTCATCGTTTATAGTTTCCCAATGAAGCTGGTGATTTGATGATTTGAGGATTTGCTTAACTGTGTAGTGTTATAGCCTGGGTAGGCTGAATGAATGATTATTATGACATTTTGCCAGGCCTGTTATTCAGATAGTATCGAGGATTCAGTTTGACACCGGCTAGCAATCAGGCTTCATTCTACCTTACATCTGACTACTGCCCTCACTATGCATGCCCAGCATAAATATGTTCCGTCCACAACACTATCAAGTAAGTATTAAATATATCTGATGTCTGTACTGATTAGTATTATGTAGTAGGACCAAGAGCAGTGTCTATGTGACAGATAGACTTATTTGTTTTCAAGAAAGGTGTGTTCTCCTGCTGGCGCATTAGTGACACTGACCAACTCTATAGGGTGTGACAAACATCTGATGCTGCTTGACATCATGGTGAGAGATATTCCACATGCTAAGTTTGTGTTCTTATCATTGTACGTCAGGAATGTTGTCCAGCTGCAACAAGTTCTGAGTGAAGGCATGTGTAGCTGCTGCATAGCTTGAGCTGGAGACTTTGTTGATGATGTCACTCCTGCACAGTTGTGTATTTCTTGTCTAGATTCACGACACAGACCATATTTCACAGTGCCCAGCCACTCTTTGGCGACCTCTTCATTGAAGTTCGCACATCTTCATGTGCACATGCACATATGCAGGTGGTCATGGCCGCTTCACCTTGTCCACTGTCATCCATGTCTCAGTGGCAAGCTCATTTTATCTGGTTAGTGAGTTCTCTTTTTTGCTTTTTTGTCATTCATTCAGACCGTTTCAAGGCCATGCACTGACTGTCTTCCTTGCCATATCTCAGTCGAGGGCATGTGCTAGGTTTTCATATTCACGCTTCATCATTATTCAATGTCCAGATATTGACTACATATATATACATATGTAGTAGACTGTTGTCAAGCATACTATACATGCTGTGGAGATACAAGTGTCGCTTCAGTGAAGAAATGTTTTTATTCAGATTTTGTGTAGTTCTAGGATGTATTAGTGTCATCTAGAACATATTGACAATTTATTGATATATAATCCTTTTTCATCCTGTGTAACATGAGCCTAGTAGTGTGCCTTGCCAACTGTGGAAAGCAGGTATGTTTTTGTCCGACCTGGAAATTTCACAGTGGTCTTACTTTTCACAGAGACACAAGAAAAGAAGCAAATGATATGCAATCATATGTGATGCACTACCCACTACACAAAATCTCGATATTTCTGATCCTTTTCATTACATAATACTATACCAAGTGTGCAATCACCATAAAAGTAGTTGTATCATTACTAGTGTCTGACACTGATTACCATATCCCCTAATATGTATCTGAATTTCATGTATAAAATGACCTTTACCTTTAAGGAGTGTTTTATTGCTATTAGTTATGGTCCATTTGTGATGGATCTTGTCAACATGAATTTTTTCAACATGCTCCAATACCATCACTGGAATACCAAACATAGCAGCTGTCAATAGCAAAGATAAAAAATGAATATTTCAGTTTCATTTGCGTCCCTCAATTGAATGGGTCCACATCAGACAAGCTTCTGGAAAACCGTAGTAGTTGAGAAACTGATGATAACCTTTCCAGCAAATTAAAACTAAATTTTCGCAGTGCTGATCCTGTCACTTACGTAAAATATTCCATATCCTTCCTGTTATTTTATGTGAGTCGGTCACTTCGCAACCCTTTCTGGCCTTGCTAACTATGATTTTATTCTGGCAATTCGATTTGTGATATCAGATGTATCAATATGTATATCCATATGGTTTGATTCCTCTTGTTTATGTACCAATGTGTCCATAGCTCGCAGGCATCTCTGAGTCACACCTTGCAATTGGTGGAAAGATGACCACACTGATTGCTGCATGGCTTGTTAACACTTACAACACTTCTTTAATACATTGCGCGATACCAATCATCAATGCATCACTAGCACTGTCTGTCGAGAGTGAGCTGAACTAATCCTGCTGCATATATCACACTTCCTTTGCCCATATTTAATACATACAGTGGCTTCAAAAAGTGTCCGAATGTTTATGCATTTTCAAGTAATTGGGTAATGGAAAGCCAGGACTCAATGATAACAAAGAGGTATAGGGACGTGTCTGGAAGCCCTATATCCTATCTCAAATTTGAGATATTCATTGTGAGAATCCAACCATATATGTGCAAGATATGGTAATTTCAAATACATGACTCATTCGGACACTTTTTGACTTTATATTTAACCAAGACTATTTTACAATTCTAGTACTTGGTGTTACCACCTTTGGCTTTAATAACTACTGCAATCCTCCTAGGCATACTTTCTATCAATTTCTGACACTCCTCTTTAGCAATCTTTTCCCACTCTGCTGCAACTCTCTCCCATAGTTCAAATAGCCCCTTTGGAGGATCTTGATAGGTAGCAAGTAGTCTTTTGAGTAATTCCCAGAGATGTTCAATTGGATTCAGATCTAGAGACTGTGCTGGCCATGATAGAACATTGATATCATGGTCTTCAAACCATTTTGTGGCCAGTTTTGAGGTGTGCTTGGGGTCATTATCTTGTTGAAAGATGATGTCTTCTTCATCAATCCCTGACTCCTGCATGCTTTTGAGTAGACACTCCTCTAGAATGGAGATGTACTGCTCTGCATTCATCCTTCCTTCTACCTCACAAAGAACTCCCACACCATTCCATCCCATACAACTCCATACCATCATGTTTCCTCCTCCAAACTTCAGTGTACCCTTGACTTCCCTTTCTCCTAATGGTTCTCCTGCCTTTTTCCACACATATTCCTGGCCATCTGACCTCATTCTATTGATTTTGTTTTATCTGACCAAATAACCTTCTTCCAGTCTTCCACAGTCCAATGTTGGTGCTGTAAAGCAAAGGCTAGCCTTCTTTTTCTATGAGCTACAGAGAGAAGAGGTTTTTTCTGCTTGGTTACAGCCTTGAGATTGGCTGCCTTGAGGGTGTTTCTAACAGTTTGGATTGAGACAGGAGTGGAGATGATGGAATTAATGAACTTGGTAGCTTGAGTAGCATTTGAAGTCTTTCTTTTGAGCAGAGGAGATGGTTTCATAATGATTATGCTGAATGTCATAATCTTATGTGGGTTTATATATTCAAATGATATTAAAATCAGACCATATCAGTATTATGACACCACTTTAATTAAGAATATAATGTATAAATGGTCTGATTTTGTAATTTTAATGAAAAGTCAAAAAAGTGTCAGAATGAGTCATGTATTTGAAATTACCATATCTTGCCCATATATGGTTGGATTCTCGCAATGAATATCTCAAATTCGAGACAGGATATAGGGCTTCCAGACACGTCCCTATACCTCTTTGTTATCATTGAGTCCTGGCTTTCCATTACCCAATTACTTGAAAATGCATAAACATTCAGACACTTTTTTGAGCCACTGTATACTCCACATGTGCTGGATGGCAGGGAAGATATGAGGACCAATGTTAGGTGGGGGTTGAGATACTTATACAGTGTTATATGGTTTCTGAGGACCTTTCCAATCATTGCAACAGGACCGCGTGTGTTTGGAATAATAGTGTGATTTTTCTCTTTGGTAGCAGTGAAAGTGTCTATGTTGGATAGGCAACATAAAACTGATACAGCTCGAGATTGAGGTCCAGTTGATGGTCAAAGATCTGGCGCTGGTTGAGGAGAGCAAGATGTATAGACAGGACAAATGACTCAAACTCAGCCTGAGCCGATGGAGTGTCTGGATAAAGGCACGCCTATTGACTTTTAGACTTGCAGAATTGAGCAAAGGAATATGACAGACCTGGAGGTATTCATTAAGCATAACTATGATCTGGTTCTCATTTGGAAGCATGAAAATATCAACCAGTGGACCTATGACAGCATTAAGACCTTGCAAGGCAGCTCTAGGAATAAATGGGTTCTCCTCTCTGACATTGTCTCCCATAAGTGCATTCACATGGAACAGCACAGTGTCAACAAGAGACTGAATCATGTCAACATAAATCTTAGCTGGTACAAGAATGTAGCTCACATTATCAGCCCAATATTGTGTGACAAGCACTATGTGAGGTCCTTCTGGATCACTCACTGTCCACGTGATGAACATTTTGATAAGAATTATTGTCCCACCAACCTTCACTGCCCAACCAAGACTGAGCATACAACTCCACAACACTTGACCATTGCTGAAGTCGATGCCAAAGATCTTCATGTATGGTGTAGCTGCCACGATGATCTTTTGGAATCCAAAAGTGTCGCACATGAGTGTATCCTCATCCAAGGAAGATGCAGCCAATGCAGTCACAGTAGCATATGAGCTGGTTGTAATGTGTCTAGCCAAGTTTGCCAAGTATTGAGGAAGGTTCTTGGAACAAACATTTTAGCACAAGTAACTCAGGTATACGTGAACCTTGTACCTTGGTATCAGATAACTGACATTGAAGCCACTGTTGGGATTCATTTCTGGCTGGGCTGGTAGAGACTGTTTTTACCTTATCTTATGTTGGTACATTTGTAGCTTACATAATCAAGTTATCTTTTCACCAGTTACCAGTATGAGTCTGAGAGATCAGCAAGATTTCATGATATTTCCTCTACTCTGAGTCTTGAGCCTGGTCCAGAAACCCTTTAGGGTCGAATAGCAGCTAGGTTCTGCAAGACCCAACACATTGTTCAGACTCACCATCTGAATTGTTATACCTTGTAACTGGTGAAAAGATAACTTAATTATGTAAGCTATAAAAGTGCCAACATAAGGTAAGGTAAAAACAGTCTCTACCAGCCCAGCCAGAAATGAATCCCTATACCGCTCAAAGTAACCTTCTTTATCTACACTCAGGAAGTTCTACAAATGCTGTGAATTGGATGGATGCCAGTGCTTCTTCCCAAATCCCCTGCATTTGTCACATTGCCAAAGCTGCATTGAGCCTGTCATGGTGGTCAGCAATGTCACACAAACCAAATATGACCAACAATAATTCAAACAGCGCAATTTTGGACTCTAACACACTTGGCCGACTGGCACAAGTTATAGTGGCGCAAAGGTTGTATCTATTTGTCCCTCCAAAAAATATCTTTGAAATAGTCACCAGTGCACCCGGACATGACACAGGCATATTTGAATAAACCTTTGATATAATTATTATTGAAATATAATATTGATTAAATAAATAAACTGTAAGGGAATTAGCAGCACAGTGCGAAGAGAACATGAGGCATAGTAGTCAGTGAGTTTGTGATAAAATGAGTGCTGTCATGCATGAACTACTGTTGTACAATGAGTCTTGCAAGTAAACTATCAAAGGTGATGCAGTGCCTGCAAGATAATGGCCTGTCCACCTCAACCTTCATGAGTGGCATTCTCGAAAGCAGCCATGTTGAACACCAGGACGCAAAAATTTCACTGACGTCTAACACGAGTCAGTTGTGCACGTTGCTGAATGCTAACAAAGACTCACATCCATCCATATTCTCCTGGGCAATTGCCCTCATGTGTACAGAGTTGTGTCGAGAAGTTGTTGAACTCGGTTTCCAAGAGCATGGCCTTCATTTCTGAGCATCATCAGCGACCGTGGAACAACTCGAGACACTGCTCATTGATTAACTTTCAACAAAAATGAACACTGTTGCCCCGCACCTTTGGAATCTAATGATGGCCCTTCTTGACAGCAGGGTCAACCGCCAGCGCAAAATGCCAGGTCCCTCGGCTGTGGGGTCACAGATGGCAGACATTGTTGAACAACAAGAGATGGATTTGGGCAAATTCAGTGGAGATAGCATTGGATCAATGAGGCTGGGCGATGAGAGTGATGACAAAAGTGAAGAAGCCTTTGAGGGGCGCCCAAAAAAATGCCAGTGTTGTGCTGCTGAAAGGAACGAGGCACTATTCGTTATTGTAAGTCCCAAGGTGCAGCAGCAGGTATGGTACTGATGGTACTTATTAGAAGGCTGTAGTGGCAATCAGCATATGTTTGCAAAGCTCGAACAAAAAGTGCAACTACTTACAGGGTTGGATGGGATTCTTCATGAAGTCAACTTCTGTGCCAGAGAAAGTGGTTGAGGTTTTGGCTCATGCAGGTCTTTCAATCAGCTTGTCGTCAATCCACAATGCAGTAATGTCTGTCTCGAAAGAGATTAGCAGCAAAATCAGGAGTGAAGTATGCACACTTCGAGCAGCCTTCACATACGATAACTTCGACATTGCTTTCAAGACATCTCAACCTACCCTAGAGAACTGGTCCTCATTTGTCAGTGCCACAGCTGCCACTGTTGTCCTGCTTTTCGGTATCGATGAGAGCAACACCATCACATTGAAATGTTCTGCTCAATTATGGGCATCAGACCACAGGAATACATTGCTGTCAGTCACACCGCTGATGAATGAGATGAGAACCATGATGGATCCATACAAGAAGGATACATATAGTCGCCAAATCAATCCGACAAAGCCCAGCCCACAAACTGCAGCATTTGCCTGGCATGTTCAAGCAATTCTCATTAATCAATATCAGAAGTTCAAACATTTCTTGAAGGACCTTGGTGAACCGGAGACCATAAAGAGGATACCCGTGCACATGACCCATCAGATCCCTTGTTGCGTGATGGATATCAAACAATCAATGACAGACGGTAATATTGAGGTCTTAGAGGACCTATTTCGACAGGGTGGGATTGGTGACAAGCGTGACAGCAGTTTCAATGCTGATCATGATGTTGATATGACTGAACGCATCATTTTTGTCCACAGTGACCTTTTGACAAAGGAAAGATTAGACACTGTCCGCAACAGCCGACAAATTAAGTACACACCAAAAAACTGCTTTCAATATGTCATCTTCTTGCTGGGGTTATTCCACTACAAAATGGCATGTGCTGATGCCCTTTGGCATACACATATCCAGCCAAAAGAAGGACATGATGATGAGAATAGCCTGTACCAGCACATAGGCATTCTGCGACCTGATGAAATGGGGAAGATGGTTAGCAAGCCAGGATTCAGACGCATACACAATGTCCTTCATCATGATGTCTGGGCCTCGATACTTAATTGCTGGCAGATCGAGGCACACCACCGAAACACGGTGTGTGCAACACTGGAAAAATTTGCTGAATCAGAGCCAACCTGGGATGTTATCATCACAATGTCACATACCATTGTGCGGAAATATGTGGCAACAACAGACGGCCTGGATGCTGCACAGTCAAAACCAGTGGGACAGCGAGATAAATGGTTTGAAAACCAGACTTTGCATAACCGATATGAGCTGCTGTATTTTGACCTGTGTCAGGCCATGAACACCGGAGACATCGGGAGGGTAGAGGTGTCCTTCCTCCCATGGATATATATTCTCAAAGCTACCAGCAAGCATAAGTACTCGTCACAGATATCCAGATTTCTGAACAACTTACAGTTTAACTGGCCAGAATCATTGAGGTACAAGTTAGTTTGATTAGATGTTAGTGCGCCTGCTAAGCTCAAGTATTGACAGTGACATCATATGAATGAACTTGTTGTGCAATCCAACTGGGAAGAGCGTGACATTCCATGCTATTGATTGGCTTGTTGAGCAAAATAACCTGTACATCAAGGTGATTTTCCCAGGTGGTGGTCCAAACGGCACTCTCGAGCACATCATAAAGGAATCTCCGCTCATTGAAATATACCGGAGTTGCCATGTTACCATGGAAAACACATTTCACTTACAGCACCAAACCATCTGGCACTCAGCGCCGAACAGAGTATGCAGATGGTCCTGTTCTGTCATACTGAATTGTCTTGATGTCGCTTAATTGGAGAGTAGTTTTCATCACAAGATGATGAAAAATGGAGTTCTCCAACAGTATTCCAGCACCCCTTCCAATACCTTCATGAATCAGGCGGTTTTTCAGCTCTTGCCTGAGGAGAGCTTGTGTAGTATCTAAGGTGCGTGGGCCAGAAGGGACACCAATAGAGCTTATCGTTGCATAGAGCAAGAATTTGTCGATGTCGGATTGCCGGGATGATATGGATGACTGCATTGTCCAAGTCAGGTGGTCAACGACCAACTTGTCATTCAGGCATGCTACAACCAATTAGGCACTGGGCAGTGTCCGGGCATGTTCCTTATCTGTCATTATGGATCAAAGGCATCGAAAAACATCTGAGCACTATATAATATAACAATCTATGTATCTATCTGTTGTGAAGCATGGTAAAGTGCATAATAAAGCTGCTTGTTGAAGTACTTGTTCAAGAAAAATGATGCGGAATAATGTGCAGAAGTCTCCTTTGTCAACCGCGCGTCTACTGCAGCTCCCAGCTCAGGTATTATACTGATAAAAGCACACATTTGCTTGAGGAGAACTATGTTACCTACTGGAGTGCCATCTGCATGCTTAGCACGCTTCAATACATGCATCCCAATGGCAGGATGGACTGCGCCAACCTTCAGGTTATGCACATAGCATAGATACTGATCTCGCCAGGTGATATGAGAGCCTCATTGGGCCATTGGATGGATGATAAGCTGCACTTCACAGACAGCGTGCCCTTCCAAGGAGTCACTTCAGCCAGATTGATAAGAATAGAAAAGGACTCACCCCTTAACTCTGACTGGGGCCACTCATACTCTCTATCGACATTGATAAGGACGGCGTCTCATTGGCTTTTCAGCCATCCAGGACATGGTGGAGAGGCATGTAAGGTTTGCACTGGTAAGATGACATGTGGATCATGGAAGGAAACTTCCCGCAAGCGAACTGTGTGCCAAACTTGAACATGATCAAAAGGCAGAGTAGAAGGACGGTCGATTAACAATCTTCTTGAGACTCCAGCCCCATGAATCACATCTCTGTTCCTCACGTCAAGTCGCAAGAAGTTTGAAATAGCATCATGAAGATCCTGTATGTTGAACTCATCTGCGACATCATCAATCTTCATTCCAGTGCAAGTTGGACTATAATTTAGATGGATAGTGGTATTATCAGCGGTAAATGTTCGAGGAGGATGAGGGCTAGGTCCATGAGGTACAGTAGCCGCCTCCTTAGCTTTGATGAAGTAGTTAGTAGTGACATGTGTGCAATTAAGTCCCTCCAGGAGTGCAGTTTGTTGATCAGTAGATGGTTCATCAAACTCAGCAATGTCTTCATTGTCTCCTTCATCCACAGGTAATTCTTTGGGGTCTGGATCAAGGACACCACTCTTCAACGTCATAGCAATCGCAAATCGCCACAGCTTGTCCTGTTGATCTAAATGACGGCAAATCTGAGGATCATAATCATTATTATTGGTTTGTCGTGCAGGGTCCTTGATTTCGGACACATGTGCATGTTCAGTGGCATCCACAGACCACTGGATGAGGGCTCCGACTTTATGTGTGCTGGCAGTGATGCTCTGCATTAGCTCTAGCTTAGGTATATACCAATTATCAATTGTCTTCTTCATACCGGTCTGTGCACCCAACGTCATGATAACATCTTTGTTTCGATGAAAGGTCAAAAGAGATTGGTTGATAGATGCCAATAAATTGTCATCCAGAGAAGGGGATTGTGACATATACCGGTGTAGAAACAACAATACAGAGAGGAACAATGGTGCTCCTAACTGTATCTAAAAATGTTGCAGGTCAAGTGTTGCCTAGTCTGCTATTCTTGAGACGACAAGTGCATTCGACCCTAGGGGAAGCAAGTGCAGCAAAGATCTACAGGTACACGCTGAAGCGAAGCGCGAGAAAGCGCACGCGCGTATGCAGAAATTGATAAAGACTAAGCTTAAGTGATAATATGATGCAAGGTAGGAGAAGGGAGATGCAAAGTGTAGACAAATAGATTTCTACTATACTCTGCTAAGTAGTAAGTGAGTAGTAAGTAGTCAGTTGCAGGAAAAGTCCATTAAAAAGTGTCAAGTCCCTAGTACTATGTACTGCTGGCGCTTATATAGCGCGCCTAAGCGCAGTCATGCGGAGCTGAAGCGCTACCGAGTAGGTATGTAAGATATATATAAGTAAGGGTCCATGATAAAAATAAAGGTGGAATGATATGTAAATGAGAGAAATAGAAATATACGCACTAGGGAGCTTGGTGGACAGTGGATGGATGCTTCTGGATGGCTGGCACTATAGGGCGCTCAAGCACGGGAAAGCTGCGCCTCATATAGAGATAGCTGCGGGTAGCACACTGAGTGACACTACAAGTTTGTGCTATGTACTCCCTAGTGAAAACTGTCATATCAGACCATGAGACACACGAGTCTCTACACCGGACGTCCATAAGGGCACGGATCGCGATCATAAATCGACGAGGGGAACCGGATCCCTCCAAAAAAGTCAGATTGGAGTTTTGGTGTGATGGAGGGATGAGATAATTTGACACTGAATTGTGAGAAGGAGAAGATGCAAAGTTATGAGTCCATAAGATCTCAAAGCGCCAGCATTTGTGAAGAGCACTCACCATTGGGAGCACTAGAAATTCATTGATTGCAGCCATACTAAGGGGAGAACGAAGGAGAAAATCGGTGATTTCCCATTCCTCTTTTGATGCAAAAGGATAGAATAGATTATCCTTTCTGCATTCTGCATACTAATCCGCGTCAAAAAGATCCAAGAATGTCAGGCTGTCTGGAGAGTAACAAGTCCCTGCGCCTTTGTACTGATACCATGGTGAGGAATTGGATTGGGGGACCACCATAATTGTAGAGCTGACTCTGCAAACTGAGAAATGTCCACCATGTTGCGAATAGAACTATGACACAACAATTGAGGCTGACTGAGGTGATGAGTGATGCTGGACTCCTTGCTGAATATTTTCCCGCATTTCAGACATGATATTGACATGGTTATTTGGAAGGAAGGATTTGTTCACACGCTTCAAGCACACTTCTTATCTTTGCCTGTACACCCATTATATGAGTATATATTTACATATGATGGATGATTCTGTAACTTCGTCTCCAAGCTCTTCTGTATTCTCATCTTTGTCTCGCAATTCTTCTCCAAGAACTCAGTCCTTGCGCTCCTATAGTACTCGCTTCAAGTATTGCCTTCAAAGACCTTACAATGTGACATCAGTTGGACACCGCACATCCTGCTCTCCAAACAAAACTTTATCTTCTCAAATGGGATCATGCATTACCAAAGACGAGCACAGCTTATCTCCAGGCCTGCGGTTTGTGAGTTCGTGCATCTGATGTTCCATCTTTGATTGTTCTTATTCATTGCACATAAGGATCTCGACTACCCATTATTTAACCAATCAGACAAGGAAGACCACTCCGACCTTGCACTTGAGGCAGCCCAAGCAAAACGTAGGATTTGTCAAGCCCAAAAAGATCTCGGAGACCACATCTTGGAGCATCACATAGTACTCACTAACCTCCATTGTGGTCGTGTAGAAGCTGTGAACATGCGATTATTGACAGCTGACCTTGACGTGGGATGCATGCATATAGAGCGGAGGAGAAATGGCATTCCAATGTTTATTGGGTACAGGGCTGGTAGTACAAGTTAGGTATGCTAGTTGTATCCTACATTGATACGTACTTGCATAATGTGTATAATGTGTATTGCTTGTACAAACCTGTTGTCCTTGTGGTGTTTGTCCACTTGTTTGCTTGTACTTAGCAACTTGAAATTTTGAATTGCTTGCATGTCTGTAATACCTTGTATAGTTTGTGTAGATTTGTTGTTTGTGTGAAACCTGTCACCAAATTAGTAGTTTGCTGATGCAGATTCGTATCATATTCTCGATCCCGCAGAATTCTATCCCAATGATGTTCCCTACCACAATCCAGCCTCCCAAACATCTCGCCTATGTAGAGTGGTTCACTCGGTTTCCTCCTACACCTGATTCAAACCATGGAATGTTCAAAGTCAGCCGCATTGTGCAATCGGGTGAGAGAGTTGCAAGCATTATACCTGTCGCAAATATCCACCGAAGTGTTCATCTTATTCCAAAGTTCGGACCTGCCACACCTCGTCAATGGACAAGTAGCGAAGTCCTCAAACAATGTAACACTTTTTTGTTAATTCTTATATTGATAGGCATAAATTTGTGTGACAATTAGATAGCACATTATAACTTCATTATAGAATGTTGAAGTTTAGCAAGAAATTATTGATCTTATTCATAGTTTGTAATATTCTTGTCTTTTTATTGAAGTTCACATAATTTGGACTATCTTTGTCTATCTTTGTGCAGGAGGGTTTTCCTGAATCCTGATGAGGGAGACTCATCTATCCACTATCACCCAGTCAAGAACTCAGTACTCAGTGGCTGCACTTCTGGTCGCCTGACTCTAAGAATCCTGCGATTGAAATTGTCAATCCCACATGTATGTCTCCTCAACTGTGCAGGATAGTGTAGGAATAGCGATTCCTTCGGGAGAGAATACTGACGCCTTGAAATCATTTCTCTATCAGAACAATGCAGTCCCGTGGATCGCCGTGCAGAACGTGTCACTAGGAAGAAAATAGTTTCCATGACTCTGACATTTGCTGATCGTTGCAGCCTGCAATACGCGTGCAATGCATCTCAGTACGTCTCAGTTCGATCAATGATGCAAGGGTACATGCTACAAATGGGTGTATTCAATATATGCATCAGTTTGTTGTTTGTTCTTAGGCAACTCCATCAGTGAACCAGTGGACATATGAGAATGTCATATTTAGCTATATATTCCTGACAATCACAACAATCTATGTAAATATGGCGGGGGGTTTTACTTTGGAATATTTGACTTTCCGAAGGAAATACAAGTTTGTAAATCAACTAGCCAAGTTGTCCTACTCTAGATATACCATTTGATGTGTGAGCTAGTCTATGAATGAAAGATGTGACACGAGCCAATGAAGTGGATCACATGTCCATACTGGCCAATGAAAGAAAGATGTAATGCATGCCAATGAAGTGAACCATAGATCCATAATTATCAAGACAAGCACCAAGGTTGCTACTTCGTTGAACTGATACTAATACTTATTTTGTACAGACTCGTATTTTGGTACCAGAATCGAAACACTATGGATGAAATCCCCTGCTGACAAAACCTTCAGAGACAGACGGCAGGGCACGTGGTTCTGGGATTGCCACTGCAGAGCAAATCAGTGCTTTCTGATCAGCATTGGCAAATGCAAATAATATACTCACCTAACATTACAAATTCAAGTAATTGGCGAGGACATAGTAATTCCTGTTTTTCAGAGACTCAACATTCACTCGGTTGTCATTCAGACACGTGACTTTTTCAATGTGTTTGACTTGGATTTGATGATCCGTGAATTACACATTGAAGAACACGATCATAGAGTTTCGAGGAAACGATGAGGTGAGTTTTATGTTCCCTCTAACAGATTATCTGAGTGCTCGCTCAGACACGCGACTTTTTCAATGTGTTTGATTTAGATATGATGATCTGTGAATTGCGCATCAAAGAACACGATCATAGAGTTTCGAGGAAACAACGAGGTGAGTCTTATGTTCCCTCTAACAGATTATCTAAGTGCTCGCTCAGACACGCAACTTTTTCGATGTATTTGACTTAGATATGATGATCCGTGAATTGCGCAACAAAGAACACAATCATTAGAGTTTTGAGAAAACGATGAGGTGCGCCTTATGTTCGCTCTGACAGGTTATCTGAGTGCTCGCTCCAACGAATGCCTTTTTGATGCATGTTTGACAGGGACTCGATGACCCGTGGATTGTACAGTGATGTACAGGTCTGGAGTTTTAAGACAATGACCAAGTATTGCTACTGATTCTACTATCTACACACATATATATTCATACCTCAATGTCAACCACCGTTTTTTGGCCTGTCCAGTGCACCTCTCACATTTGGGTTTGTCAATCAAATACATTCAGTTCAGGGCTGTGGTTAACCTCATCGCCTGAGTATATTATATATTGTAAACTTTTGGCGGCTAATCACCAAGCCATGCAGCCTCTTCTTGTTCATGTAGTCGTCGCTATTGTTGTATAAAAAGTGAATCTACTTGCCACTTGACGGCATTGGACATCACGATGAATTGAGTAACAGTTAGTGTGCTGAATAGTATGGAAATACACTGTTAACCAATCCTTTTTAGTTGGAGATCGTAGGTGACCTCCTCAATCAAGGCACTTACATGTAGGAAACTTTTGATGGTTGAACACCAAACCACACAATGTCTTTTTGTTTGCGAAGTCATCACAACAATTTGGTAGAGAGCGAAATTTTCTCCCACTTTGGATCATTGGACGTCACAATAAATGTGATAGTATTCAGCACATTGAACAACATGGAATGCCATTGGAAATTGCCCTTCAAATGACCTCCGATCTCAAACAAGATATAATGGTGTGCATCATAAAATTTGCAACTAGTAATTAATTATAGCAGACATGAATGATATTAGGCCAATACAGGCAGTAATACTATGGTGAGTTGGGGGGCTAAGGGGGACAATGGACAGAGCACAGTGAGAAGAGAAGACACAAAAGATGATTTACTCCGAGTCAAAAACAGCATCCTCCAGCATCCTCCTCTGTTTGGCTAGTGCGTTGATGGACATTTGAGACACGACCTCAGGCGTCAGGTCCTGACGATGGTTGGTACCAAAAACTTTCCTAAATAGCCACAACTGTCAATTATGACTCTCTGAGCAGCAACAAAAGCATTACCTCGTCCACCACTCCAGGAGCGCATTCATCTTATGTCTAGTGACAGGGCCAGGGACAAGTTCAAAACAGGTCACAATATTAGTCCAAAAAATTTCATAATCAAAGTCACTGTCCACAGTGCGCCAAGATGAAACTCTGGATAAAGCGAAACGAACCTGCCAATCAAAGGCTAAATTCCACATATCAAAATAGTAGGTGTTTGCGACTCACTTGACATACAATGTAAGCGATGGCATGAGGTGTCACTTTCTTCATGTTGATGATAGAGGCGACACAGGTTTTGACCTTAGGCTGATCTTATTTCTGCCAAGCATGCCTATTATTCTCAAGGATGTCAGTGCCATCGCCATCACCGTCAGCTTCCTTCGCAGAGGAAGGAGACGTGAAGACAGCTTTGAAAGCCTGCAGTACCACAATGAGCGGATGATATCTCCAAAACCGTTGCGACTCACCAGAGCAAGAAGCTTCAATTTGAGGAAGCCTTCCTCGAGGTTGTCCCCGTTTGCTCTGTAATTCTCATACATAAACAACAGCCAGGAGTTTTCCGAAACAATGTACTCTGATGTTCTGTCACGATGTAGAGACTCATGCATCTCATGGTCTGATATGACAGTTCTCACTAGGGAGTACATAGCACGAACTTGTAGTGTCACTCTGTGCGCTACCCACAGCCATCCCTATATGAGGCGCAGCTTTCCCGCACACCCCCCCCATGCTTTGCGATGTATATGCGCGTGCACGTTCCCATGCTTGAGCGCCCTATAGCACCAGCCATCCAGATGCATCCATCCACTGTCCTCCAAGTTCTCTAGTGCGTATATTTCTGTTTCTCTCATTTGTATATTGTTCCACTTTATTTTTATCATGAACCCTTACTTATATATATCTCTACATACCTACTTGGTAGCGCTTCGGCTCTGCATTACAGTGCTTAGGCGCGCTATATAAGCACCAGCAGTACATACTACATGACTACTTTTTTTACTTTCCAACTGACTTTTCCTACCTTTTTTTACCTTACTGCAACTGACTACTGACTACTCACTTACTACTTAGCAGGATATAGATATATTAGAAATCTATTCCTTCACATCTCACATTCTCACATCTCTATCTTGCATTATATCATCACTTGAGTCTAGTCTCTCTATTGTTTCCGCATATGCGCGTGCACTTTCCCGTGCTTCGCGCTAATATGTGCGCGTGTTCCCGCGCCTTGCGCGCACCTGCACTTTCTCACGCTTCGCTTCAGCGCATACCTCTAGATCTTCACTGCACTCGCTTCCCCTTTAGGGTCGAACGCACTTGTCTCCTCAGGTAATGCAGACTAGGCAATGCGTGACCTTACAACATTTTTTAGATACAGTCAGGAGCATCATTAGTTCCTCTCAGTATAGTTGTTTCTACAGCGAATTCCAGCCTTGACCCTGGCCCGGCATCAACGTCCTGTACTACTCTTCGAGAAAGATTGAAACTCACCGTGGTTGATCCCAGTCCCACTCTGCAGGGCAAAGCAACTTCCCACAGATGTCACTCACAAACCCGCGCGAATGTTTATCATCAGTCCTGATCAAGGGAGATGGGCGAAACTCTTGATTGACCCAACCAGTGACAAGGTCTTTGAGACTGGATGTATCATCACCCCGAGCTGCATCTGCGCCTTTCTTAAGCTGTAAAATAATCAACACTCAAAGTGAACACGTTGCAAAATAATAATACAGACCTTTCATAACATATCCTCACACTCTTCATGATCAAGTTCCCCAAGCTTTGGGTGCAGCCACAGTAGTGTTCGTGCAAGTTCAATGTACCTGGACTGTAGGTTATCTTGCCTGTGTGGTAGAATAAGAAAAATTGTGACCTTGTAAAAATTGATGACTTACTCCAGCATACTAGGATCATCCATGAGACGCAAGCTCTCATACCTGCGATTGTTCTCGTTGATTAAGTCTTCCAAGCTAGTGTACGAGATGACCATGCATCAAATTGCCCTGCCTTGCGCAATGTAGTAGGTGGTCTTTCTTTATGGATAGATTTACATTAGCCAATGTTTGCAAGATTGTCATGGCCACAATACACTTACCTCTGCTTAGTCCCTCTATCCTGCTGCAGTGTCTCAAGCTCTTCCTCTAAAGCAGCTATACGGCACTTTGCCCTTGCCTTGGTAGAGGTGGGGATTGGCTGGGATGGATCGGTGTGTACTTGTAGTTGAGTCCCGGAATCTTCAGGCTTGGACTCAGGCGCGTTGGAAGGGTTAGCAGTAGAGTTACAGGATGTCATGGTGGTGACTCAGACTTGGAGTGGAGTGGAGGGAATCAAGAATGAAATGAAGTCAAAAAAGAGCGAAGTAGAGGATAGAGAGACAGCAGTGAAACAAAGCCTATTTATACGTCCAGGTACCATCATATGATCATGTTCACAGGACTTGACCCATTCGGTAAATTCCATATAAGGTGATTATTCCCACCTTCCCTGGTGGGAGAGAGGGCAGTTTTCACAATGGCGAAGTCTCCGCCACACGTCAGTTCCACAAAGCGGGGCCAAGAGGAATGATATGTATGAGAGTTTAGTAGGTGCCGCTAAGACACTTTGTTAAAGCAAATCAGTCGATGTTGTTGAAAAAAAGATGACAGTGATGGTGGTGGCGGTAGGGACCTAGTAGTAGTAGCACATCAGAATTGATAATATTATGACATATTGGCTAAACCCGAGCCTGGGCCTCAGGCTTAGTACTCAAGGCCAATTAGACTGATGCATGAAAATCCGCTAAATATTACGTACAATGCGACTACAATGATGGGTAGTACTACTGGTCACAATGATCAAATCGCAGACTCTAACTCAAATGTGAGGAACATCAGAAAAAGCCGGTTCAATCACGTCTAAATCGTGACGGACTCCCCATCCAAGTTGGAGGTCCTCTGTTTCTTCCTTGTGTGGGTGTTGCAATAAGGTCTGTCATCATGGGAGTCATCACTTTGGGATGTGCCGCTGTCCATGTAGCTAGAGTCTGAATCCTGACCAGCCTGAGAGAGTTTGCGCGGTTTCTTCAACTCATCATGGTACCACTCTATGTACCGGGCATGCACAGTTTCCTCAGCTGCGATTAGGAAGTTGTCACGGCAGTGATCTCAGTTGAGTTTGATAGGAAATGTAGGATCGTGCTGCGTGATGAGACTGACGTCAAACTGAGGATCTGATGCTTGAAGAAGAGTAGCAAGGCGGTCACGCATCCTGGCTAGGCCTCTCTTCATCATGTCATTTGTGTTGTCCATGTCAATGGACGGAAATAGTGTCTGTCATATTGTAGTGAGTTCGATGTTAAGCACAAAAACATGAAAGTTACTTACTCCATGCGCAACATCGGGACCATCATCAACGTTCACGTCAATTGGGATGTTCCCTCAAACCCAGATCTGAAAATGCACAGTGCTGATGTTGCACCACGTATGGCCAGTGACAATGACGGATGTGGAGGGTGCCGACACATCCATGAGATAGGTGAAATCATTGAGCGGAAGGTGACATTCGGCCGAAGGTACGAGGGTCATAGAGTCATGGTTAAATTTTGTGGCGACTAGGAGTTTATAGGCGTCCGAGTTAGGTCCTGGTCTTTCATAGTCACCCCCTTCGTCGACTTTGAGCTTGATGACCAAGTCTGCTTCAGTGTTGGACACAACCTCTAGCTTGAACTTCTCACTGAGGATGTCTTCATCTTGTGAAAGAGCACACTCGCCTAGGGCGACATGTTGGACTTGGCGACGACCATTCAACTTCTTCATTACTTTGAATGACATGGAAAGATCAGGTGTATATATCTAGCAGGAGTTGAGGGTGTTATGCCTGCAGTTCGTGTCTACGATGACAGTGATGAGACGTTTGTCGAAGGGAATACCTCCAAGAAGAGATAATTCCGATGCCAGGAATGTGACACTGACTTCATGGAGGGGAAGGGCCATTTTGACGATGAGGATAGATCTGTCTGATAGGAATGTCAATCTAGCGTAGATTCATCAATGATACTCGTGCGGAGCTCACGATCATTCCTACCTTGGTTTGGGGTATATGTGCTCAGTCTCGAAAACCACTTTTGAAATTGCCTCATATTTGTTGGCAGAGATATTGGAAAACACCTAAAATATGATTGAATGAGCACATGACTTGCCTTTCAGTTCTCAAAAGACTCACCTTACTGGTCCTATTATGCTGACTGGGACAGTTGAAATTAGAATCTAAGATGGCCTTCAAAACATTTTTGCATCGACCTTGGAGGCATTGAAAGCTTAAGGACTTGCGAGTATGTGACAGCATCAGAACATACCTGAAGAAATACAGTGGCTCAAAAAAGTGTCTCAATGTTTGTAACTTTTCATGTAATTGCTTTATTATGAGCCAGGGTGTGGGAATATGACTAAACTGTAGGGAGGTGTCATAAAGCTATACTTCTTAGCCTCATTGAAGTTCCCTATAGCGTGGGAAGATGATGTCATCATGTGCAGATATGGCTATTTTAATTTGGTGACTCATTGAGACAATTTTTTGACTTTCAGTTTGATCAACACAATCTCTATAATTATGATACTTCATGTGACCTCCTGTTACTCTAATCACTTCTGCCACTCTTCTAGACATGCTATCTATCAATTTTGAGTATTTCTTCTTAGCACTCCTTTCTCACTCTGCTGCAAATCTGTCCTACAGCTGAAATAGCCCCTATGATGAATTTTGATAGGCTGCAAGCAATTTCTTGAATATTTTTCAGAGATATTCAATAGGGCTGATGTATAGGGACTATGCTAGACATGATAGAACATTTATATCATGGTATTTGAGCTGCTAGTGACTAACTTAGACATACAGTGGCTCAAAAAAGTGTCTCAATGTTTGTAACATTTCATGTAATTGCTTTATTATGAGCCAGGGTGTGTGAATATGACTAAACTATAGGGAGGTGTCATATAATAAAGCAATTACATGAAAAGTTACAAACATTGAGACACTTTTTTGAGCCACTGTAATGTCGCAGTCACTAGATATGAGCCGCTTGGTGGCAGTCCAAGTCAACTGAGTCTCGGTTGAGGTCGTGGGAAGGGTGAGTTTGTTTCTGTTTGTGAGTAAGGAGGTTTTGGATGATTTAGCTGCGTTCTTGATTAAAATCGCCTCCCAACTCAATGGCGAGGCAGAGACTGGTAATGATAGCGATTTTTTCAGGTTGCGATTCACAAATTTCTCCTGCAAGGAGTTGGTCTGCCCGCTGTTTCTGCGAAAGAAGTCAGGAAGGGAAGTGGAGCAAGACTTGGGGCTGATTATGACAGTCGACATGATGCTATTGTTTAACTGAATGTTGCATGGCTCATGGCCCAGTGCTTGATGCATGCTTAGCTAATACTGCTACTCATGACTCAGTTGTTGCTATTATGAGTGAAACTCCTGTGTACTGAAATATGAAATACTTTACCAGCTAATCACAGTATAGGCCTGTTGATTCTTGACTTCTAAATGCTGGGTCTTAACCACCAGGAATCATACAGTCATCATATACCAGTATTAGTCACAGCATGTCCGAGTCTACACTGTGACAAGTCTGTCACCATACTAGAATTTTTAGTCACTGTCATGCAAAACTGGCTAACTAAATAAAGTATTTACCATGAAAGGGTAAGTGGGCAGATGCCGGGTCACAGTATGAGAAAAAATGTCGAACAAGAGACCCAACTACTACTAATAGTACTAAATCTGATCCTCTGGCTGTTACAAGTAACATCGGCTACATGGCCCCCCTATCATTTTTCCCCTTCGTCCTCACCCTCGCATGCCTCCGGCTCGTACTTCTCTACCGGCTATCCGTTGACCGGATCCTCGGGACCGTTCCTCGTCCCCCTCCTATCGCACCAACGTGCGCACGTGCCTTCGGGCTATGACTCGTTCTGACTCGTGCCACCAATGTGGCTTTCCTTATCTTGTCTTATCTTTCCTTTGACTCGTGCATGCTGCACATTGTATCATTTACCGTTGGCTCGTTCCAACGTTTCTCGGTCTCATTCCACATTCGACCTTACATCACTAATCAGGCTCTGCTACCAGCGTACCTATACCCTTTCCGTTTCCCCTTTGCCCTTACCTACAGTACGGTAGCCTTGCCCTTAACCCTTTCCACTTAGTATAAGTAGTCGGTCACTCTGTACTAGATTCCCTAACTTGAATCTACTCAATCTTCCCTCGAACATACTTCCCTCTAAAGCCCCCTCAGCTTTAGTCTCTAGTATCTTTTCTTAGGTGCTCATCGCGCCTAAGTCTACCTCGATCGACTACTCATCGTTCGGACAAGACTGTCCTCACTTTGAGAACGTCAGTGACTTTGAAGACATCCGTCTTAGAAGTCACGTGACACGCGCGTCTCTGATATCTGCCGACTCGACGTCGCCAGTCTCAGTCGCTACACCGGACCCTTCCGGTTACGTCACGAACATTAGTGGACAACGCCTCTCTTAGGGCTCCGCATAACAGATCTATTTGAGTGCGTAACACTGGCCAATTTATGAATTCCATCAAATCCAAGTCCTGTTCCGACTCAGATTCTACCCTGACTGTAGGAGCAGTAGCAGCCTGAGTGATGGCGGCGGGATGATCCGCTAACTGGGACTCAGGCTCGGAATCATCATGCCCAGGCCAAACTTGAACACCATCATGATGATCCACGACAAGACTGCTTGGTTGTTCTGACTTAACCTCCACAGTTTCCACATTGCTTTGAGAGCCAACTTGAAAGGAATGATCTTCCTTAGCCCTAGGCTTGTCTTTGGCATTCAATGTTGAAGCGGACTCCACTATGATCGCCATATCACCATGATTGACAGAGACAGCAGCAGGACCTGCAAAGAAGTTTGTATGTCTGTCATCCTGAAACTTGCAATCAAGAATGCTCACTTTCAACTTCAACGGGCTCGAAACTATAGTGGATGAAGCCATCAAGCTTACGAGTGGTCTGGTTTCATTTATGACGACCTCTTGATGGATCACAGAAATTGAACTTGACGTTTTGACCATTGGCTGCCACTAGAATGTCAACAATGGTCACTACCAACGAAAGGATATGTATTTACCCATCGTTGTACAAACGCAAGGATCTGAGTCAGATGAGAGGAGTACAACACGGATACACGAGGCTTCAACTCAACTTAATTGACTCAGACTCGGTGCGGCGGCTAGGCTTCATGACTAAATACATGTAAGTGCAACCGAATGCATCGTGATAGCGTCGGTTAAGTGAGTCACGGTCTGAACAAGCAGGTTGTAAGGGCGCTGGATTACAAGTTACAAAGCCTACTGGCCACGGCAATGTTCCACGTCCATCCTCGAGGAATGACTCACTCGGACAAGAGCGACAGAGATGTCAACTCTTCCCTATCCTGCTGCTAAGTCGACCTCAGGTGTTCCAAATGCTGTTTGCGAGTGGGCCAGACTTTACCGAAGCCGAGATGTCTGCCGGTACTACTTAGGTAGATGATGGTGAGCGCCGAATAGTGACACCAGATGAATATGGATTGACTGACTCAGATTCTCGAAGCTCAACGCTGTTATACTGGTCGATGCAGCATGTATCACCCCACGCCCAGCAATATCCCACATCACAAGCGACTTCGCAGAACTTCTGCAACTTCACAATTGTTCCAACCAGATCCAAGTCCCAAATCTGCAGGGTTCTTAATGTTTGAAGCAGTGATGATCCAGAGAGCATCTTTGAAGAACACGACTGATGATAACAGTATCCGTACATACTTGTGGTGTGTTCATATGGAAATCTGCTGGGAATCGAGCTGATCGGATGACCAGAAGAGGTGGGTATGTCGAGGGTGCGAGTCTGCACGACCTTCAATGCCATCATGAAGCTCGCTCCAAAGCTCAACTTCACTCCCTGGCCTTTGTTCTATTTTTACTATGTTAGTATTCCCTGTATCAGAGTCACGGTGACACATTACTAGGATTAGCGTAATCAAGGATAGTACAGTGCCCAATGCCTGGCCTGAGGAAGAACAAAGTTCTTCAAGATTGAAGTTGGAGTGGCAGATCCGGATATTAAGAATCTAATAATTGCCTGGATCAGTACAATCACGAAGTTCTTAAGTCCAGACGGCTCCAATGCTTACGTGGTCATACTAATCAGATGTTTCCGAGATGTTTTGCATGCTGCTGTGTTATGTTTCTGTCTCCTTTTTATCGTTCACCATGGATCCTCAAAACAGTTGGCCTAGAAGATCTCCATACCTGATGCTGAGTGCCAAGTTGACTCCCACTCGCTATCTCATTCCCAATGGCTATCAGGCACAAAAATCTGAACACAAAAAGGGTATGTTATCATCTTGTGAATTTTCAAGAATGAAACACACTAATATCTCACATGCTATCAGGTGTACACTGTGTCTTTCCTGACCTTCATATTGATCCTGATATCGGCATTCCAGGCTAATGCTACATGACATCCACCCATCCATCCAGCTCCACGTCAAGTCCCACCAGGCTTCTTCGATCATGTGCAAGATGGTGGTTCTGTGCATTACCACCATTCACCTGCACTACATGCTCTGATATTCATATTTTCAGTCTTCCACCCACCGTCTCCATCCTGATCCCTCTGTACATCACCTCCGCAATACTTTTGTGCTGTCCGGGGGATCACGTTCACATGTGCTTCTCGCTGACTTACCCTGGCTCTTCTACCGTTCCCCACCCAACCTCAGCAACATTCACGCCTGAACTCAAAAACAAGATGTGTATTGTCTTGTGACTTTTAAGAATGAAACACGCTAATGTCCCACACACACAAGCTATCAGGTGTATGTTGTGTCTTTTTCTGACCTTGATACTGATTATTATATCAGCATTCCAGGCTAATACTACGCGATGTCCACCCATCCATCCAGCCTCACGTCAAGTGCCACCAGGCTTTTCGATAATGTGCAAGATGGTGGTCCTGTGCGTCACCACTATTCACCTGCACTACTCACTTCTGATATTCATATTTCCAGTCCTCCAATACCCACTGTCTCCATCCTGATCCCTCCCTGCATTGCCGCTGCAGTGCTTTTGCACCACCCTGGGGATCACGTCCACATGCACTTCTTGTTCGCCTTACCCAATGCTTCCATCATTTCCAATCAAACGCCCATGAAGATATTAAACTCCAGCAACACACAGGACCTGGTACTTTCTCTTGCTCCAGTCCTCCTATTGTCGATGTTCCTGCACTAGATGACAAGAAGGTATGTCGTTTGGAGGATGTGTTCTCAATGACTGGTGTCTCAAGTTTCATCTGCAGGCACTGTATATTGCTTGGCAGCCGGAACGAGCTAGCGACAAAGCAAAACGCGTTGACAACTCAAAATGGTGGGCTCATGTCATGCTGTTCCTCTGCTGTGTGTCTCCGTCCAATGACGACGGTCACTGATGGTGTTAGAACATGGACAATTGTATTCACATTGATGTCCTCTTTTTGTTGTATTTCAGCATTTTTCTGTTATCATCATTGACACCTCGCATTCTAATTTGTCTGTAAAGTGACAGGGGAAATCCATATTGTGTATTTTATGAACATCGTTGATAGCCGGCAATGTGCGCTCAGAAACTGAGGATTTGACACGCAAGTTCTCAAACACGAAAGCGGTGCATTTGGACGTACATGATGTTGCGGAGATGGCAAGGTTGATTCAAGGTGCTGATGTTGTTATTAGGTGTGTGACGCCCTATATAAAATATACACGATCTGAGTGATGATCAATTTGAAATTAGCTTGCTCCTAGTTCCTTTCCATCCTGCCATTGCAGAGCTGTGTATTCAACACCGTAAGTGTTACAATCATGCTTTTCTTTCGCTTCTCTGTTCTCTTTGTCCGATAGTACACTTTTCATTTATGATCACTTACCTTTCTTGAACTATGTACTTATATCTCACGACTACCTTGGTCCGTGCGCACATATTGACTTATTTAAGCACGTGTATTAGCCTTGTAGAACTTCACTTGAATCTTACTAGGTTTTACCAGAACTTCCTTCGCTTAAGACCTCCAATCTTAAGTCGTCTGAACTAGCATTCTTAGTTGAAGCACTCCTTCGACTAAGTCTTTACAGAACCCCTTCTTTTCTGAAGGACTTCACGAAACTCAACAGCTCGAAACTCTGTCAAGTCGCTGTTGTTAGAACTACCCTAGTTCGTAACAAAAGATTCAAGTCTTTCAAAAGGACACCTGTATCTACACGTGTTCTGAAGAAAAGAAACAGAAGAACAGATAAGCCCTGACTGAGCAAGACAGCTAGTGCAGGCAAAGAAGAAACGACAAACTGACTTCACTCACTCCCACCTTCCAAGCCCTTAATCTCAGTACCCCCATACCGCCACTGAATATGTCATCTTCATCGAAACTATTCGAGTACAAGATTAATCATCCGCCCATCTTCGATGGAGATCGAGAGAAGTCTAAATCTTTTATCCTATCCTGCAATGCATACATGGACATTAACAAGGAGTTATACAAAACCGACAAGCAACACGTCATATTCATCACCTCGTTTATGAATAAAGGAAATGCCTTGCTATGGAAAGAAGAATTCCTGACAGACGCCCAACATGTCAACTCCTCTGGACAAAAGAAAGGATATGGAACGATGAAAGAATTCATGGAAGTATTCGACAAAGCTTTTGGAGCTATTGACCCTTCCGGAACTGCCTTAGCAAGAATCATTCACCTCAAACAAGGCAACGGAGAACTGCAAAGCTACATCGCAGACTTCCAAAGACTCCTCGTGCAAGCAAAGATCAAAGAAGAACACATGAAAATATTCCATTTCCAAAATGGGCTGAACACCGGACTCCTTACAAAGATATTCAATGCTGGAGGAGTTCCGAAGAACCTAGACGACTATATCGCTGCAGTCGTGGATATGGATAACTGCTATATGCGGCTCCAATCCATTAGGGCAAGTTCTTTTCCCCAAGAAAAGAAAAGAAGATTTGGGGATCAGCGATTTGTCCCCGCTAGGGACAGAGACGCCATGGTGATTGACAGAATCGGTAGGCTTACCGAAGCTGAAAAACAGGAGCACATGCGGATCGGAAAATGTTTCAACTGCCATCAAATTGGGCATCGCGCCAGAGAATGTCCTCAGAAAAAGAACGGATCTTCCCCACCTATTCGACAAGTGGAAGAAAAAGAAGAAGAAGCAAGACGAGTCAACGAGGATTTTTGAAGAGGAGGTCTACGTCGACGGTAGTATCTCCAGAAGAACCAATTCGTGTAATACAAGCAATAGGTGAAAGAAAAGAACTTCGTGTCCCAATCACCCTCGTCTCGCGAACATGTCCAGAAAATGTCGAAACCAACACAGTAATCGATTCCGGAGCAGCTGGAACCTATATCTCCAAAGACTTCGTAAAGAAGCACAAGATCCAAACCAAGAAACTGGAAAAACCGTTCTTTATCAGAACCGCTGATGGAAGCTACTTTAGTAGTGGACCAGTGGAGCGATATTGTATGCTCATCATCAAAGTCGATGAATGAATGATGATCGGAAAGTTCAATATCACAAAGCTAGGAACTAAAGATCAAATTCTCTTAGGAATCCCCTGGCTTAGAGCGATGAACCCATCCATTGACTGGGCCAGTCAGACTCTTTCCCTCCCTGCAATGGAGAAATATACGGAGGTAGAAAAGTACATAAAAGAAACATCAAGACCAAAGAAAATGTTCTTCAAAGAGTTCAATACCAAAGAAGATGTATGGACAACTTCACCGGTATTCCCCGGAGCTCTTACAGATGACGGAGAATATCTCAAGAGAATAGAAGAAATTCCAAACGAAATGCCAAAGTACAGTAATAAAGCTCAAGAATTCACATCCGAAGAAAAAGTCAAACAGAAGAAAACCTTTGAAGAACTAGTCCCCTCTTACCTCCACGATTTCTCAGATATATTTGCAAAAGACGGTCTAAATCAACTTCCCCCGGAAAGACCCGGTATTGATCATCGGATAGAAACGAAGCCTGGTTTCATTCCAAAAACGTCCAAAATCTACCCTCTTTCCCACAAAGAACGACTCGCGGTTAAAAAATTCATCGCTGATAACCTAGCTAAAGGATTTATTGTCAAATCAAAATCTCCACAAGCAAGCGGGTTTTTCTTCATAGGAAAGAAGAGCGGAGAACTTCGTCCATGCCAGGACTATCGCTTCCTTAACAACCAAACAATAAAGAATGTGTATCCCCTTCCACTTCCTTCATCTTTGGTCGAACAATTACATGGTGCTAAATTCTTCACTAAAATGGATATCAGATCCGGATATAACAATATTCGTATCCATGCCGAAGACAGGTGGAAAGCGGCATTCATCACGGAAGAAGGATTATTTGAACCAACGGTTATGTTCTTCGGATTATGCAATTCTCCTGCCACATTCCAAGCCTATATGGATAGCACGTTCCGAGCGGAACTTAACGAAGGATGGCTGGTCATCTATATGGACGACATCCTAATCTTTTCCACCACGATCGAAGAACATCAAAAATGAACTCGTGTTATCTTAGGAAAGATTCGTCAAGAACAACTGTTCTTGAAGCCAGAGAAATGTACCTTCGACTCTCAAGAAGTGGAATACTTGGGCATGATCATCAAACCGGGGCACGTAGAAATGGACAAAGACAAAACAAACGGAATACAAGACTGGCCGGTCCCTCAATCAGTAAAAGAAGTTCGCTCCTTTCTAGGATTTTGTAACTTCTATCGAACCTTCGTCTCTCATTACTTGGATATAGCCCGACCTCTCATTGATTTAACTATGAAGGACGCAATGTTCACCTGGACCCCATTATGTCAGCAAACATTTGAAAAACTCAAGGCATGCTTCACCAGTCACCCGGTACTCCGTAATCCTGATCCTTCTCGGCATTTTGCTATTGCAACGGATGCCTCTCTTGTTGCCTCTGGAGGAGTGCTGCTTCAAACAGACGAGAATGGTAACTATCATCCATGTGCCTACCTTTCTCAGTCGTTTGGACCAGCCGAACGAAACTACCCAATCCATGATAGGGAATTACTGGCCATCATTCGAGCCCTTTCTCATTGGAGACATTATCTAGAAGGACATCCTTTCCCTGTCCTCGTATTCACCGATCACATGAATCTCTTATATTTCCGAAAATCGGAATGACTCTCTAGAAGGCAAGCCCGTTGGCAGCTATTCTTGACTACCTTCGATCTGGAATTACATCATGTTCCTAGATCGAAGTTAGTCGTTCCAGACGCATTATCCCGACGACCGGACCATGATGACGGATCTGCTGATAACCAGGAAACAGTATTACTACCGGATTCCATGTTTATCCGACTCATCGATGATGATCTTCGAGCTGCTTTATCTTCGGAAACTCGTGATCCCATTTTTGCTACTGCACAAGATGCCTTGAACAGACTTTGCCTACCCCCAATGAAATCCTCTCTCTCGGATTGGTCGATTTCTGATGATATCCTTTTTTATAAAAATCGCGCGTATATTGCGCCTGACCATCGGCATCGAATCCTGGAGAAGCACCATGATCATCCCACTGCGGGGCATCCTGGCCGTTTTAAAACGGAGGAATTAGTCAAACACGAAGCATGGTGGCCCAGTATGGGAACATTTATTAGGAAATATGTTGATGGATGTGCGACTTGCCAGCAAATGAAGGTCGATACCCACCCTACCACCCCTCCCCTAACTCCTATCACAACCACAGCCACCCGTCCATTTGCGCAGGTCTCCATAGATCTTATCACCGACCTCCCTGTATCCTCGGGCTTCGACAGTATCATGGTCGTGGTAGATCATGGGCTTAGTAAGGGGGTGATCATTACCCCTTGTCACAAAACCATATCTTCCAAAGGAGTGGCAAAACTTTTCCTAAAACACGTCTTCAAACACTTTGGTCTCCATGACAAAGTAATTTCGGACAGAGGACCCCAATTCCTCTCCAAATTGTCGCTAGAATTGGCATGACTCCTTGATTACACCATTGCCCCTTCCACCGCGTATCACCCACAGACCGACAGACAAACAGAACGGCTAAATCAGGAACTAGAAACCTATCTACGAATATATTGCCAGAACAACCCGTCCGAATGGGTAGAACATCTCCCTATCGCTGAATTCGTCCACAATCATCGGAGACATGCTACAAAAGACGCCTCCCCCTTTTTCATCATGATGGGATATGAACCAAAGGCTCTTCCACACATTCTCCCTGAATCAAAGGTACCCGCAGCAGAAGAACGAGTAAAACTTCTCCAAAAGATAAGGGAAGAAGCAGTGGCCTGTCATAACATCACTATGCAACGAATGATGGAAAGATCCTTCGGGCAGAAGTACCAACTGTGGAAAGTAGGAGATAAGGTATGGCTCTCTTCTACCAACCTCAGGTTAAAACTTCCATCTCGGAAACTCGCTCCAAAACGATACGGACCATTCGTTATCTCCGCAGTACTATCACTGATCACTTTCACACTCCAATTACCACCGCAATGGAAGATCCACCCCACGTTCCACGCTTCTCAGTTTTCGTCCTATAGCGAAAACAACGAACACGGTCCGAACTTCTTAGAACCACCACCTGATATTCTAGAAGAAGAAGAGGAATATGAAATCGAAGCCATCCTTGCGCATAAAGGAAATGGGAAAAGACGCCGTTATCTCGTATCTTGGAAAGGATATTCTTCCGCCAGTAACGAGTGGATTCCTGAAGAGAACCTGGGAAATGCCGCGGAAACCCTTGACACCTATAAAGCCAGAAACTCGCTTTGAAATCAAAAACTACATCGACAATATACTCTTTACCCAAACCCAAGAACTCCAGCAAGAATGTCTTTCCCAACCTCTTTCACACTCCCCTACGAATCCACCTTCTCAACCACTACATTCGCAAATGATGAAGACCGATATGAAGCCTTTATCACCAATGCCGAAGATCTCACCCTCATTGAAGCAGCTATGCTCTGTCCCCAACACGCTATCGAACTCAACAGAATCCTCTTCGAAAGAAACGCATACTCCATTAATCTCCTCGTCAACATCATCAGAGCCATAGACCTTATCGAAAGACTTACACGTCTCGTCGAGGACAAATCAGTCTGACATGGCATTATGCACCTTCAAAAGCGTATACGCAACTTTACTCTGCGTCTTATTCCTGATGAGGTTAAAGATGATATTAGAACCATCATCCAAATTGTCGCAGAACGATCAGCAGGCGTTGCTCGTCCGCCTTCTCCATCCCCTGTCAATAGAACAACTGACAACCCACCCCCGTCTTACCACGATGCAGTACCTGTACCTCCTCCTCATATTCCTAACGAGCTGTTGGCTGCTGTCAATAGTCTCACGCAAACCACGGAAGCCATGATCGCCGCTCTCCATATAGAAGAACATTCCCCTCCAATAGAACGACAAATCACACCACCTATAGTTGCCCCCATCGAAGAAACTTGCCCGCCTAACGCCTCCATCGAAACACAGAATCACCCAGAAAATCATTATAAAGCATTCTCCGCTACTCATGAAGAAATAGAAGAGAACCCTAATGAACAATATCTTTCCTACTACGAGATCAAAGATCTTTCAAACGCGCTCGAGGCACTTCATATTCATCCTCCTATGACCATTCCTAAATCATTATCCACGCATATGTTCAAAGACGGGATTATCCCTGTCGAGACGCTAGGAGCAACTGCTCCCTCTACTCTAGCTGAGCTAATCACGGAGGCAGAACGACAAGACATTGCCTGTAACCACCCTATCGAACGAAAATCATCCACCACTTTTTGAAAAAGGACACATGGACAGTCCTATAAAGGAAAAGGAAAGAAGCAGGCTACTAGTGCAGATGAAGCATTAAGCCCGCGACCTGGTCCCTCCCCGTTACGCTCTACTTCATCCAATCCAGATGAAAATCGGGTTTGCCGATACTGCAAAACTCTTGGGCATCATCAAGTACATTGCCCAGACTACTACTGCAGAGTATGCAGAGAGTTAAGTCCTGGACATCTTTCGTTCTATTGTCCTAGGTATATGGGCAGTACGCCTACCACTCTGACTTGGAAGGATGAGGGATTTTACACCGCACTAGCTCTTTGGGAAAACACTAGAGACGAGCAATATGTTGCGCAATGTCAGGAAGAAGAAGCCTTCTATCGCTCTGAGCAACTAAAGGGAGGTTCTGACGACTTGGACTATTGCGATGACCCCATCTACTATGCTAACCTAGATGATTAAAGTCGGTGACTTTATGCCTAGTAGGGGGGTAATGTTACAATCATGCTTTTCTTTCGCTTCTCTGTTCTCTTTGTCTGATAGTACACTTTTCATTTATGATCACTTACCTTTCTTGAACTATGTACTTATATCTCACGACTACCTTGGTCCGTGTGCACATATTGACTTATTTAAGCACGTGTATTAGCCTTGTAGAACTTCACTTGAATCTCACTAGGTTTTACCAGAACTTCCTTCGCTTAAGACCTCCAATCTTAAGTCGTCTGAACTAGCATTCTTAGTTGAAGCACTCCTTCGACTAAGTCTTTACAGAACCCCTTCTTTTCTGAAGGACTTCACGAAACTCAACAGCTCGAAACTCTGTTGAGTCACTGTTGTTAGAACTACCCTAGTTCGTAACAGTAAGCACCTCGTGACAGCGTCATACATCTTGCCTGCCATGTGTGCCTTACATGAACAGTCAGTACACACAAATATTCATTATCACCTGTGCTGATGGTGTTTGCTTCGTGTCATTTGTCATAATCGCCCGGTCGCCTCTGGAACATTCTGATGTTGGTGCTATGGAATGATCATTGGATCTGGAACACATCACAGAACACAGGGCTTGATCAGCAGATGTGCTTTTGCTAAATGAGATTGGTCTTGACCCAGTGATTGATCACTGCTCTGCTTTATCACTGCTTGCGCAACTTCAGTCAGATACCCTGGGTTTGCTGATTTGATGCACACCTTCAAGATCATAGGGCTGCATATGAATTTGCGAATGACTCCATTGCCGTATGATGGTACATGGCGAAATCTAAGATTAAGATCATCAGTTTTATAGGTGGAAAGACGATTGATATAAAACGGACCTGTAATCGAATTGTGCAATGAGGTCGTCACCACCAGGAATGCATAAAGCAGACAGATGAGATGCGTAAACAAGGCCTTCCATGTGCCCAGCTCGCATTCGTGCATGAAATCGACGACGAGCATGCGAAAAGTATCTAATCCTAACGGACCAAGCTTTTCAACAAACACGTTCTGATTAAGAATCAGTTACTAATTAATATGTTTCGTTCTGGAGCACTCACAATGGTCGGTACCCACGATCCTGCTCCAAGAAGTGTCTGTACTTTTGAGCTGTTAATAGTATGTCCCCATCCATAGATGAATTTGCGGGCCTCGACAACTCTGGTGAGTGAATAAGCTCTAAGGTTAGCTATGTGATCTTGCATGTCGCTGAAGAGACCCAATAGATTGAATGACACTTTTGGCATGAGACAGCGCGGACATGGGCATGAGCCCATGTCTTTGATTGATGCTATTAAGACCCTGAAACGGTGGTTAATTGAGCCAAACCGGATATGTATCATGGAACTGTATGGGTATAGACCCAGATGTGTATACCGGATGGACCAGATGGGCATTGCTGGTAAGAATACATTGCACCGGATAAGGTATCATGGTCTCCGGTTAGTGCACTCTGTATGTACCAGATGTGTTTACCTGCCTCATATCTCACCCCATCCCTCGGCCCACTCGTCTCCAGTTAGCATAGTCTGTATGCTCCACACGTCCTTACCCACCTCATATCCCACCCCATCCCTCGGCCAATTCATCTCCAGTTGACATACCATACATGTACCGGCTATATTTACCTGCCTCGTATTTCACCTCATCCCTCGGCCCACTCGTCTACAGTTAGTAAACTATGCATGTACCGGATACCCTTACCCACCTCATATCCCACCCCATCCCTCGGCCAATTCATCTCCGGTTGACATACCATACATGTACCAGCTATATTTACCTGCCTCATATTTCACCTCATCCCTCGGCCCACTCGTCTACAGTTAGTAAACTATGCATGTACCGGATACCCTTACTCACCTCATATCCCACCCCATCCCTCGGCCCACTCGTCTCCGGCTAGTACACTCTGCATGTACCGGATGTATTTACCTGCCTCGTATCTCACCCCATCTCTCGGCCCACTCGTCTCCAGTTAGCATAGTCTGTACTATGTGCACACCCTTACCCACCTCATATCCCACCCCATCCCTCAGCCCATTCATCTCCAGTTAGTACACTATGCATGTACCGGATACCCTTACCCATCTCGTATCCCACCCCATCCCTCGGCCCACTTGTCTCCATCGCACACTGAATTCATGTATATGCATAGATATCCTATATAGTACATTCCTATACTACCATCTACATAATATACCACCAGCCCATCTGTTTGGAACAGGTACACACCACCCACCGGCCCACCTGTCTAGCATGTATATACATAGATATCCTATATAGTACATTCCTATACTACTGTCTACACTATATACCACTGGCCCATCTGCTTGGAACAGGTACACACCACCCACCGGCCCACTCGTCTATGATGGTACACTTATTGCCATGGGCCCACGTGGGCTGGCCCGCCTCTATAGGTATATTGTCACCCTGAGCTGTCCGTCTAATACGGGTATAAGTTACTGTACTATGTGAACATTGTCGAAATTGGGCCATGTCCACTTTAATAACAAACTTCAAGTGTTATTATCTGCACAGCGAACTTGAAGCAGCCCGGACTCGCGTGTATCTGCAGGAATTGAGTCATGGGTAGCAAGATAGAACCTTAGCACCCTCCCAAACCAAGCACGGTAGTCGAATGGACCTGAATGTTACCATACAAAACCTCAAGCGCAGCAAAAGCGACAGGCAGCCCGACGCACTGCGCCATCACAGATGCCTCAGAGTTGCCATATGCCACCAAACTTGACGTGTGAACTTCTGTGGCCGAATCTATAGATGGGAGCGATGGCTGTGCGACGATTTCGTGCAACAGCACATATCGCATTCCCCGGGGTTGTATCTGAGCTTGTGGGCAAGGACCGAGGTGAAAAGTTCGATCGGCGCTTGTGGTTTGAGTTGTGTTGATAAGGGGGTTTTAGATAGGATCTCAGGCGTAAGGTCCTGCCAGTCCAGAGCACCAAGTGAACTTTCCGCATGTTCGGTAGTCATGACGGTGGAAAGGGCTGACAAAAACGAGCGGCAATCGCTTCCAATCTGCTTAATGAAAAAGCTTGCTGCGCAAGACTTCGAGGATATCTTACAGGGTTGTCTCTCCACTTCCTGCGCTGACGTGCATCGCTGATATCTACTATAGTGTGCTATTCCTGTCTTCGAGGGATTGTTCCCAAGGGACCATGATGCCATTGTACAGACCCTCCTGTATAGATTTGCGCATTGGCATGCCCTTGCCAAACTCTGGATGCACTCCAAGACTACCCTATTAGCTCTGGATGATATGTTCAAAAGGCTCTCCCGCCAGTTGCGCAAGTTCAGTGACTTCACGTGCGCTGCTTTCGCCACCATGGAACTACTGAAAGAAAAGGCTGCTCGTGAGCGCAAGATAGCACGTGAGCACGCAGGTACTAATAATCCAGACGCTGGAAGTAGCGGTCGCAAGGCTAAAAAGTTTAATTTGAACACATATAAATTTCATGCCATGGGAGATTACGTGCGATCAATCCGGCTTTTTGGAACCACCGACTCCTTTACCACGCAAATCGTACGTGAATCTCTTTCATGTTTTCTCAACTCGTCTTAATTTCGGGCAAGGGAGAGTTAGCATATAGGGCACTGAAAGTGTTCTATCCTTTGACAAGCAAACTAGACACCCCGGCCCAACTTGCTAGGCACGAGTGTCGCCGATGTTTGCTCCAGCGTGTGGCAGACACGACACACAGCTCATATGCTAACCAGCAAGCACCAACTGACTTAGTACCTGCAGATCTCAACGGTCATCACTATATCACAAAGCTTAGCCACAACAATCCAATATTCATATTCAAATTTCTTCAACACCATGATACTGATCCAGCTGTAGCGGTAGGCATTACTCTCTGCATTGTCCATTCTTACTTATGATGAACCGCAGGGGTTCATACCAAAACTGAAGGATCATATCCTATATCGACTTTGAGGGTTAGATATCGGTCATTGCGACCATACTTTTACAGATGATGAGCATAGTACAGTCATCATCCCAGACAGTAAGATTTACTCTGTTCAAACAATGCAGGTATGTCACGATTATGTGCATCACATGTTTTGCTAGGATATGACAATCCCTCGACTTGGCAGGTACATTATACTACTTACGACCTTCGACGGGAGTATGATATCATTAATCCTCGGATGCATCCCGATGTCATGGTCCTATCTGGGGAAATGAATCCACATCATCCGTATTGGTATGCCCATGTCTTAGGCATTTATCACATGGATGCATGGCTCCGCAATGAAGATTCAATGGACTTGAAGATGCATCAAATTGAGGTCCTCTACGTCAGATGGCTAGCACCCTTAATCGACCACCGGTCAGGGATTAGATGTGCGCGTCTTCCACAGGTCGCTTTCATTGAAGAGTCTGACCGCGACGCATTCAGCTTTCTGAATCCGGGCCAGGTTATCCAAAGTGCCCATTTGATTCCTGCCTTTGCTTCTGGCTGCGGAACAAGTTCCCTTCACCACGGAAAGTCACTCACACGTCAAGATGATGAATTAGATGATTGGGAGGCATATTATGTTGGCATGTAAGTGCCATCCCTCATCACATTTTTTACTCGAACTGTTGACCGCTCAGATTCATCAATCGAGACATGTTTATGCATTATATGTACTATGGAGTTGGCCATCCTACTGCTGTGCGGGAATTGACAAGAGATTGCATCAATGCGGAGCTTGCGGACAATTCCTCAGACTCGGAGGACAGCGAGAATGATGAAAGAGAGGCTATTCAATGCTACAACAGTGATGGCGAGGGGGACGAAGGCGATCAAGATGAGGACGAAGAAGAGTGGGATGGTGAAGAGTTCAATGACCATAATCCTGAGTGCGGAGAGATGGGGATAGATGATGAGGACGATGAGGACAAGGACGAGCATTTGTCCTTTTGAATAGCTTGAGTTCTGCCCATCCACAAACATTGATTTTTCTATTCCTTTCTGGATTCTTCACACCACAAAGACTCTTTCGCGGTGGCTTCATACTTGATTCCGAAGTGCCAACTTTGAAACTGCCCGCTGGATGTGTCTGGCTTGCGTAATGCCAAATGCTAGCTTACCCATGTCCGCCATAATGTGATTTGAACAACACAACTTTGGGATCCCGCTGGAGTAAGCTCTGAGGCATGATGGGTTGGGTGAGAGATTCCCCGATGTTTAAATCACAGGCGATCAGTGTCCGTGTTCATCGCCAGTTGCTATCAATTGTCGCGGGAAGATTGTGGGCTTCACTTAGTGATGTTCTGGCTTGGCTTCAAGCCCCAGGCCAGGCCAAGCTAGGCCTAAATAAGCCCAGCCCTAGGACACGGCCTGACCAGGGCTTTGGTCTAGGCTTCAATTTCACAAAGCCTAAGCCATGGCTTAGCAGTGTATGTGTTGCGCCAGACAATGATGAATCGTTTCCCACAGTTTAGCTCAACTCTATCTATTTTAGTATTTTGTATTGCTTCCCAAAGTTCCCGCTCACGCTTCTGTTGGCATATGGTGGGTCGGTATCAGCTTCTTAGTCCATCATACCATGAGATATGTCAGAATGAGATCACAGTGAGTTGCAATTGTTATGTTATTTGAGTTTGAAAGCTTGCTAATATTTACCCCGTCCATGTGAAGATCATGGAGAAGGCATACACCCTGTCGCAGTTTTGAAGATAGGTGTCTTGTTGAAGAAGATTGAAGGGCCCTCATATACCAGTGACAATCAGCGAGGATGGCATAGAGAACCTGGCACCGTTCAGGTAAGACACCTCCGGTATCCAACCCACTTCGCACACTTACCTGGGTTGCATCTGCCAGTTGGTTTAACACAGTGAGTAATACAACAAACGACACATGTCTTCAATTGTTCAATAACCACTTCCAATAGGTCACGAACTACCTTCCTGTCATCTCATTTGCAGTCAACGACAGCGCTCCAAACCACCTGAAAGACACGGCCACAAACTTGAAGAATGGCCAAGGATTTGCCATGAACATCATCAGCGAGGTGTTTATTGAAAATGCACATGTGGCTGCTGTAGATGCTGACCTGCACCAAACTGGTTCGGTGCATGGATGACTAATGCTCTCCCATGAGCCTAATACCCTAGAAATCACTACGAAACCATTTCCCTCTATTCTAAAGCCAGAATGCAGCTCAGACAAATATCTCATTTCATCTTTTCAATGGAACTCGGACAGGCTGAATATTTTTGTATATTTAATTCTGCGATGAATTTTGCTTAGTCATCCTCAACAATGACTCAGGCTGAATCCCACACATGTCAGGTGACTGTGAAAAATAGTTCTCGCATGGGTTACCCTGGGAAAACTTCCTCAAAACCCTAAATACTTGCCTCGCATCATTTTCTCATTCAACAAAGTGACATCAGAATGGAACACCAATGATCATGAATATTTCTCTTGCAGTGCACAATCAGCCTGTCACATGACCCTTCAGTCACATGATGCTAAATCACATGATCTTAAGTCAGGTGACTTTTGATCCAAATCAAGTGATGACAGAACACTCAGCCCAAGCATGCTGACTAATGCTGACTAATTATGGTCTCATTTGGTGCAACATAAGCAACCCCTGCAAAATGATTTTTGGTACCGCTGACTAAGCTCACCCCTCATAGATGGCGGGAAAATGTAGCACAGCCACCCTTTTTTTTGTATATAAGACCCAAATTTTTGCCCAAAGAAGAGAGCTTTTTAAGCCCCACTTTCAGAATAAAATTGTGTGTGAAGTGTGATCATTGTCAACAACAGTGACCAGGGCTGTCAAGTACCTTCAGCAAAGTCATTGTAACCAGTAGTCAGCCAGCAACTTTCAGTAACCAGCAAGCCCCTAAGCTCATCAGCATCAGCATCCAGCAACACCCTTAGCTCATCACCACCAACAACGACCAAGACCTTGAGCTCACTGTGCTCAACGACCGACAGAACTTTTTTTATTTTTTTTCTTCTTTGATTTTCTAGTTTTCTTCTTTCTCTTTTTCTCTTCTCTCTCTCTTTCTTTCTTTGTCTTTCTTTTCTGTCACTCTTTTGTTTCAGTTTTTGTTTTTTTTTTTTTTTTTTTGTTCTTTCGCTCTTTCTCTCTTTTCTCTCTCTCTGTGATCCTCTCTCTTTCTTCTCTTTCAAGTTTCAGTGCTAAGCTTTCATTCATATTTTCAGAAGCTTTTGTGTTGTCTCTTTCATCCATCTAGACTCCGAATAGTTTAGTGGGGAGACTTTAGGGATTGACAGTAACGCTTGACCTCACTCATCTGAGTAGTGATACTGAGCCAGGATCTTCCTTGTCTGCTAGACTTTAGTTGTTGAATAGAGGACTTGGTACTGAAACCAAGGATGTCCGTTCCTGATTCTGTTTAATACTCATCGTGAGTTCCTTGGCAGCAGGCTCAACAGTGAGCTAAGAGTTCTACAGAGCATTGATTAGTCTTGACCTTTGATTCTACCTGTTTGTGCTGAGGGGGTTGATTGCTATAATTCCACACAACTCTTTCGAGATACGATTGTTACAAGGCATTGTTGTTGAAGGAAGGTTTGAAGAGGTGTCTTTTTTTCTTTGTTTCTTTTTGTCATCACCATACCGTTGGGTTGACTAGTTTTCTTTCGTCTTTCAATCACTGCCATACTGTTGGAGTGATTTCATTTCAGTTTCATTTTTGTTGGATTGACTGCATTGTTGCTGACCTTACAGAAGTACTGTGGTCTGACATAGCTTGGGAAGTGTAAACAGCCACCCACGAACGACCACATTATCAGCCATTGGTATTTGTCTGAATCGCTGACCATGGAGATATTTGTTTTTATAGGTGTTTATCTATAGATCATCTATCTAAGAAGACAACGCCCCTCCCGATGTCAATGAGTGGACTCTCAGTGATCTAACAAAGGAGAAATGTGTATGCGTGCACCTTCATAACATGATATATGCGCTAACAACGACACGTTCAGGTGGAAATAAAAGCCTCACATGTCAAGGAAAGCACATCGACATGACCTTCTTTTTCAGGCACCTGAACCATCCTCTCTCGTGGAGTCAGAGGAATGTAACGACTCGGAGTTGGACTCGAAAGCTGACAGAGATGATGTTGCCAATGAGGAGGACAGTTGGGATGCCTTGATTTCAGGTGATGATGATGCTGATAATGAGTTGTCTGACTTTGAGATAGTATACTAGACATTTTGTTGTACTACTAATATATTCCATCTTTGCATGGACTCGAGCTGTGGCCTTGTCTGGCTCAAGCCCCAGCTTTTGGCTGGCTTGGGCTCACGGCCTAGGCTTGAATTCTGGTGAGCCTAAGCCCCCATAGGCCAAGCCAAAGCCGGGCCGGAACATCACTAGCTTCGCTGCTGTCTTACGCTGCTCCACAACATCAGGCGCCTTGCTGCTACCTGTTGATTTCAAACTTCAATTGCAAAGGTCGACGACCAGATACATGTTCCACATAGTGAGACGTGGAGGTTGCTCCCTAAAATAATGTTCTTAGCAGGGATCCCCCGTGGTCCGTGGATTTGCTTCAGAGATGTTTTGCGAAAAGTCTTGCATGACATTAGAATTGAGCCAATATTTGATCGGAACTGAGAACAATCAGCGACATCAGCGCTAGTGAGCTTCCATCCCTTACTGGTTATGAAGATAGCATGTTACGATTTTGTCACTACAGGCCAATCTACATCTGCTGTCAAGGGCTAAAGCCGTTGTCCTGCAGAAAGTCTCGAATAACATTAACATCAAGCTAATATTTGATCAGAACTGAGAACAATCAGCGACATCAACGCTAGTGAGCTTCCGTCCCTTACTGGTTATGAAGATAGCATGTTACGACTTTGTCACTAATTGTCAGGTCAATCTCTGTTAGTGCTGCCACGATCCGGTCCAGAACCATGGTTCGAACCGGACTTTTGGTCCGGTTCTCCATGGTCCGGTCCATGGTTCTTACAGAAGCCTGAACTGGACTGGAAAATGGTTCTGAGTTCTAGGTCTTCCCGGACCATCCCAATTTGGTTCGGTCTTCCCGAACCATTCCAAACCCTCATCGACTTCGACTTCGACAACGTCGGTCTCAACGTCAAATTATTGTCTTCAGGATTTGCACTTTTAGTTAATCAGGCTACCTTCAGCCCTGTTGAAGGTAAGTACCCACTCTCAGACTCTCACCATGACTGACGTATACTTAACCATGTTATCTATATTCCTAGATAGCTATGATCTTCCAGCGGCTTTTCACTTTCGGATATGTTTGTTCTGGGATTTGCACATGTTGTCTCCTTGCTCCGTGCACAGATTTAAAACAAGGTCCTGACAACGAAATTGTGAGTTGTCTCCTTGAAATGTCTGAGGATTCGTGTGCTCTCAATACTGATGGCTCCCTCAAGGATGCCTCCGATATTATATTCTACAACGATCCAAACGATAGTGTACCACTGCCACAGGTTCCATCCTCAACTCAACCTACTGCAAAAGACGCCTTCTCTGTGTTGCTCCAGGCTGGACACACACCAGCGCTAGTAACGGCTGGTTCACGGCATTCCACCCGCACCTCAAAGCCCTCTGCTCATGTTCGGGATGCTGACAATGCATGTGCCCAGCCTTCATCTTCAAGCACTGCATCAAGAAAGTGTGCATTATCCAGTGCAACCAATCCTCCGGCGCCCAAAAAAGCTGTCATGCGGTTTCTGTCTCCTCTGGACTCTGATGAAGATGTACCTTCTTCTCCCCCTAATCCAGCCCCAGAAGAATCATCCTGTGACGAGCTCATCCCTCAACTGGACGACGAGGATCACGACGATGAAATAAAATCTGGGAATGAAGATGCCACTCAGATGGTATGTACTTCTCACATTATGTATATTGTTCTCAGCTGACAATCATGTTTAGCTTTCCAAACATGAACGTACAGCGGATGTTTGTACCATATTTACTTGCACTTCTGATGGGTGGGTTTGCAACTTATGCAAGTAAGTCATTCATCCTTCGATTGTTTCTCTAAGTTCTAACTTTGTATAAGGGCTACTGGTGAACCGATCTCAAAGCATACCTTTCGTGGTGGAACTTCGACATTGCGGACTCACATTGTCCGCAATAAACGGACACATTTTCAGGTGTACCATCAGCGCTGTGAGGCTGCAGGCATTACGATGCACCCTCGCGCGATTCCACCTGGAGAAGACCTTGCCATGACCCAAACAACTCTTGATTCCAGTCTTATTTCGAAACCACCGGTGTTCACCAAGGAAGGGCTACTTGAATATGTCATGGAGCTTATCGTGACAGAAGACAAGGTACATTTTTTATATATATCCATCTAAAGTTTATTCACATATTCACATCATGCCAGGCAATACAATTAATCAATAAGCCAGTGTTTCGACATTTATTACAGTACAGGACTGCATGTCACAACAGCCATGTCAACAACAAAACCTTCGAATCAGTACGGTGAGTCCTGGATGCGTGATGCGATCATGGCGCGTCAAGCCGCTGACCATCACGCATACAACCCTCATCAAGAGCTCTCCGCATACCTCACTTCACCATTGGAGGAAACAGACAACGTTGTAGCGTGGTGGGGGTAAGTCCATCATTACTTTCTTTGGTTCCTGGCTAACATTTTTGATTAGTTACACTCACTGCAATACCCAACCTTAGCTCGTGTTGCGCGTGATTACCTTCCCATTCAAGGCAGTGCTGTCCCATCTGAATGCGCGTTCTCCAGCGGGGGGATCACATCGACTTTGCACCGCAATGCACTCGTGTCATCCACCTTCTCCACACTGCAAGTGTTGAAGGCAGCCTATCATAATGGACACTTGTCAGCAGCAGTTGAGGCAGAGGGGCATGCAGCTGGTATTATGTAGTTAAGCTAGGTAGTTTATGTCTTGTAGATGTAATACCAATGTTTTTTTTCATGCACCCAAAACTTATGGTTCGGTTCAAGTTTGAACCGGAAAAAACTGAACCGGACCGCAAAGAACGGTTCTTGAAGGTCCAGTTCTGGGTTCGATGATTTTGCAGAACCGGACCGAACCGGACCATGGCAGCACTAATCTCTGTGTGCTGTCAAGGGCTAAAGCTGCCATTGTCCTGCGGAAAGTCTTTTAATATGAAATATAAATGCTTTCAAGTGAAAATATTCAATAACACGGACGCCATTACACTTACGTCCGTTGCTGGCTGTGAAGGCAGTTTCTTATGACTTTTGTCGGAAATTTGCGAAAACGGTTGCAATGAGTCCCTATTTAGATGTCATTGAAACATTGCCTGAAATGACAAGGCAATGCTGATCACGCGTTGAAATGGTAAGATAATACTTATGACTGAGTTTCAAATTACATCACAGATGTGCCCTTCCCATTATCATTCCATCAGCGCCAGCAGTGATCTTTTTCCAGTTTCTCCGTCCTTCAGGTCTCTGTATATAATCCTGTGTTAGTTCTATCATCAAGAATGGCCCCCAACCGCACAAGGTTCTGCAACTTATGTGGTCAGGACATCAAGCCACGAGGTTGGACTACTCATCAGAAAGCTTGTGAGACAAATGCAGACAAGCGGCACCGTGATCATGCCATTGTAGATGCAATTCGGCAGGAAAAAGGTGCGCTTGATTGTATGCCCAATTTCAAAGCTAATGATTAGTATTCCAGCACAGAACGAATCTGTGCTTGATGGACAACGGACGGCTCAACCTAGTCGCGCTCACACACCAAGTATGTTTTCTATCATTTCAATGTTTGTCTTTTTGACTCATCTGTCCCTAGTCGAGGTGAGAGATTACCAGCATGATATTGCACATGACTTTGATGTGGACTTCAGCTTGACTGGTGAGTCTATTAGTACATATTTCATTGATAATCAATTTCTGGATCGCTATTACTGTAACTATGATCAATAATGCTATCGATTTTTCAGACCATTTTGAGCCTGAACTTATGGACGCCTCAGCACCACCCACCTATTCGCTTGATGACATCAAGGTCGAGCATCACCAAAATAGTGGCATCAAGGCACAAATCTATCCCTTCAACAATTTTCATTGTCGTCCTGCAACATCTTCGGCTTACACCACTCCCAATAACCACCCTTGGCGCCCATTTCAATCTCGACTTGAATTTGAAGTAGCCGAGCTTGCTCTTGAGGTCGGATTGAACAACAAACAAACGGACCGTCTCATCAACATTTGCCATCAATGTTCTCTCAGAAAGGATAGTTTTACGCTGAAGAACCATAAAGACATTCACGGCAAGTGGGAAGCAGTGTCCCATTGGATCACAAAGGTGATTCCATTCATTTTTTGCTGCATGGACTCTGAATTTGACCTTTCTCGAAGTGCAGTTCACGAAAGATGTGATCTCGGTCCCCTACGACAGCAAGATGCGGGAATTCGATGTATACTACAGAGATCTTTGGGATCTCACTACTGACCTACTTCGGGACCCTAACCTCTTCCCTCACTTCCAGTTCGACGCACAACACTTATCGAAGTTTAATGGGCAAACCTTCGTCCGCTTTGTAGATGAACCTTTCACTGCGGAAGACTTTTGGAATGTGCAAGTATGTATCCTGTAGTTTCAATCCTTGTTGTATGTATGTGAAACATTGTGCATTTGTAGTCGCAACTACCACAGGATGCAAAGCCACTAGCTTTCATCCTATACGCCGATAAAACAAGATTATCATCATTTGGTACTGCGAAAGGATACCCAGTTGTCGTGCACTTAGCAAATCTACCTACTGATATTCAGAACGGACGAGGTGTAGGTAATGGTTACATTGTAGGATGGCTGCCAATTGTATGTCCCAATGTTTGTCTCATTGTCGGTGCTGATGGTGGGGTTGTATTGTATTAGGTGACAGAAGATAAAGAGCATTCTGGAAAGTCAAGCTGTGTCAACTTCAAAAATGCAGTCTGGCACGAGTCATTCACGAAAATCACCTCTTCATTGGCATCAAAATCAAGGACAGGACAATGGTACCCCTGCCTAGATGGCATTGATCGGTGGTTCTTCCTTTGTCTACTTATTTTGTCAGCTGATTATGAGGAACAGCAAGTACTATCATTCTACATCGTGTTTTTCCTAACGATAATTTACAGGTGTGTTATGTCACTTACTCGAGGGGTCATGAGCCTTTGGTCATGTCCTATCTGTCTCATTCCTCGAGACGAGCTTTGGGATATGTCAAAACAATATACCCGCCGAATCGCCAACACATTGTGGGATATTGTACTGGCTGCACAGGAAATGGACACCCATGAAGAATAAGAAGAGCTTCTCAAACAACATGGACTTCGTAATGTTACTGTGAGTTTTGTGTCTACTATTTGCGACGCTCTTAGATTAACTTATTTTTAGAATTCATTCTGGGCCATCCGATATTCAGATGTACATCGAGCGCTATCGCATGACCGGTGTCACTACAACCATGGCGGTCTTTGGTCCCGTCATTACTGGGTCGAGCTGCAAAAGCACTTGACGAGCCTCGGAAGGGCAAAAGTAGCCCAAGTTGATAAGAAATGCGTCTCTTTCCCTCGATTATGTCAATATCTAATATGTCATCCTCTTCTACTATGTCATCAGTTTTGCAGCATTTCTCCGATGGCGAAATTTGAAGCATCTGAACCAAGTAATGAGTATTACATTTGCAGACAGCTCCGTCCATGAAGATATATCAAAGGTTCGTAGTTATTATTGTGCGCAACTATCTTGCTAACACATTATTTCACTACAGATGATAATATATGCTACGCACAACATCATAACAGAGGAAGCCTCTCCACTTGGGTACCTTCTAGTTCGCTGTGTACGCCTTTACCTCGAGGTCGACATGTACGCTGCCTTCGAGGTTCACACAACGAATACCATCAGCGAGGGCAGAAGTACTGTTCAAGCCCTAACGGCATTCATGAACATCAGGTAATCAACCCTGAATTGATATGACCAGGTAGTGCTGACAAATGAAGCACATTATGATACATCTAGATCTAGGATTACATATCATTATCTTTGTGGATCGTGTGTATGACAGAATACAAAAGTTTGCTAAGAACATGCCACCTTGATATGCATGTGACAACCACACATCACATATGTGAAACAATACAAAAGTGTGCCAAGGACATGCCACTGTGATATGCATGTGACAACCATGCATCACGTATGCGAAGGAATACAAAGGTTTGCCAAGGACATGCCACTGTGATATGCATGTGACAACCATGCATCACGTATGCGAAGGAATACAAAGGTTTGCTGAAGACATGCCACTGTGATATGCATGTGACAACCATGCATCAGATATGTGAAGGAATACAAAGGTTTGCCAAAGACATGCCACTGTGATATGCATGTGACAACCATATGTCACATATGCAAAGGAATCCAAAGGTTTGCCATATATGTCACATATACAAAAGAATACAAAGTTTGCCAAGGACAAACCATCTTGACATGTATGTTAGGAGTAGAGATCAATATGACAAGTGACCATCTGTACACTAGCTAAAGATAATAACACCACACTTGTTCTATGTTGCTGAGCAGCTGCATGCCATACCTGCAAAAACTACAATTGATCTTATAATATGACATCACGCGCCAACCTGAGCGAGAATATTATTTTCATATACCATGATAATTCTCGGACAACATAAGATACGAGTTTGAAACATGGCGTCAAGGGAATCTATGATACGTTTCAAGTGGCAGCTACACACAGCGAAGGAGGCGGAAGGAAACACCAAATTTCGGAAAGGGAGATAATGCTGAATGATGTCAGAGGTGCTTAAGGTCGAAGATCTCAGCACATTGTCAAGAGTCAAGAAGGCATAATATAAGCAGATGGTAATCAAAGACAGTGATAGTAGCAAAAATAAAATAAACCAAAACTAACGTACAGCCAACATATGTAATGTTGCGGAATACCAGACAATGGTGAGAAAGTGGACGGCGAAGGAAGGGGATTGTTACAAACCGGTAGCACATGATCACAAGAGCACGGAAGTATCGGAAGAGAAGCATAATGATGACTCCAAAAACCAATTATCGAGATAGTTGTCAGGTAGACGTGAGTCAAACATTATAGGCTCAGAGCATATACCTACGGCAAAATTAGTAGGAATGAACTAGAACGATTTACATGCCTACCATCTGACGTGCCCTCGAACTCGGACAGGCGTTCCATGGCTTCGGAAAACATGTCCACTTCGGCCTGTGCGCGCTGCTTCTTTAGATCTAGAATACGGACATCAGACTTAAGTACATCCACAGATTTTTGCTCCTTTGTTTTGAAGCTCTTCCTGTCAATGGTGTGTACCGGTTTACATTCGGCAAAGGATGCGTTCATATACGCATGGTATGTAACGTTATCGACCCAGGTTTTCAACAACCGAGGTAGCGAAAGCAGATCGTCGGGCTGTACAATATCAAGAACACCTTACTTTCGTAGATCAAATAACACTTACTCTTAAGAGGCGTTCAGAAAGATGAGGAACTTCTATAGTTTTCGGAGAATCGAGAAGCGCGCGGATAGTATCGGGATCGACTTGGGTAATACCTTGAGAATGCGAGGATGCAAGAAGCCATGCATTACATTTCTCTTCAGTTGCCTTTGAAGGTTGAAAGTAATCGACATGGACCAAACTACGCGCTGGGCGCACTCCAGCATACACGGCAACGTCGACTGCAGCCGGCCTTTGTCGATCAACTAGAAAACACGTTTTTAGTGCCAGACAGACTCTGCAACTGCATGGCTCACTGGGGTGATTTCTGATTTCTAGTTCTTCGCACAAGTTAGCGATAGCGTTGCTAAACAATGAAACCTCCAATTGAGCTCGATACATTCGATCTTGCATCAGACACCGTCCTTCTCGTGAAAGGAATATCATGCAACTCCCCTCTTCTCGCTGGAGCTGCGTGCGCACTGAGACCTCCTTGAGGCACGTGTCAATCAGGGTTATAAGATCATGTGCATCGACCAAGCCAAACACCACGGAAGCTGTGATCATGAGGGATTCTGGAAGCTACACGTGAAGTTAAGAAAAAAATCAAGAATATATATGCGAGGGCACTGACAGCATCACAGCCCTTGGTCTGGAGCCAACCCAGCAGAGCTTCCTCGGTCTGTTCAATATCGAGAAAGTGAAATATTGGAGCTGTTGGGCACATATCAATAACGCCTGGACAAATCTTATTTAACATGTTGAAGTTGAAGGGAGCAGGAAGGGGACATTCTCACGGGGGTTGAATACTTACACAATCTATACAGTTGAGCGATGGCGATCAAACTGTAAATCAAAAAGAGGTTAAAGTAGTCGCAGCGATGGCGATCAAATTAAAAAAAAATTGATATGCGGCCATCGTTTGTAAGCAGTGTATGACAAACAGAATAGGGTAATTCTAACCTTTGGGTGGGCAATGATGATTTGCTGGTTCTTGCTGTGGCGACTGTCATGATGCCATAAAGGCTTGCAGAAACAGACTAATGTACATTTAACAATGCAGTGATCAGACGAAATATTGGACACATGGGAGATACAACTGTTAAGTTACACAACGAGCACACGCTATTTCTTTGACCGGGAAACCTTTGTTCGGGAAACCTTTGGCCGGGAAATACGATAGACATCAGTCTCGCTGTACATTGCACCTTAGTCGCGGGACATAATGCACATTCTGAGTGAACTCACGTTAAAAGACACAAATTCCTGAGAGTTTGTCTGAATGTCTGGATGTCAGGATCATTGTGCTGTTGCAAGAGCATCGGACCCGTCTCCTTTAATTCCATGAAAACTTGACTGGGAGACGGATGTGTGGCCAGCAAAACACGATAGTTCGGGCGATGGGAGAGTCTTTTCAGTAAGACCTCATAACACTGATGCAGCAATTGAAGTCAAAAGAAAGACCGGAAGACTAGTACACATACAGATGACGCGAAGAACGCCATTGCCTCCCACGGTAGGTGTGGAGCATTGCAAAACTTTTCAGGTTCTAGATCGGCAATGGTCAATTCAACTTGGCATGTCTCCGTAGGACGGAAGATGACGTGGTGAACGATCTCCTTAGCGATCTGGTGAATCAAGAATTGATAAAATCCATTGTCCTGCGAGGAAAATAAGAGTTTGACAACGAATGGGAAGTCGGAGAACTCACGGAAAGTGGGAGCACGTGTGCAAATGGTCTGATGAACATCCGAATGCACTCCAAGATCTTATCCGTCAAAACATCACCATATGCACCATCCCCGAGGCCAAAGCCTGCGCGAGAGTCAAGGGTGTCGTTCAGCCTGCGCCTCACATCGTAGTTGAATTGTGAGAACCACGGAGAAGCCTGCTATGTGATAAGACAAGTAAATGAAACAAAGAGGACACGTACAAGTTTCAATATTTCATCTTCAGTAATAGGCTTCTTCGTAGTTCTGGAAATAACTAGAAATGAATCAATAAGTGTAGCAGGTATTAAGGAAACGACCTCCTACCCTTTTCCAAGGTCGAAGGATCGACATTAGACCTGATCAGACAGAGGGGCCAGAGTCGGTGAATCACCTCGGTTCTCTGGTTACGTTCGTTCTTTTGGACGATTAAGTGGGGATTCTCTGTTGTCCTGCAGCAGATCGCAATCCTTATCAGGACTTGAAGATGGGCAAGCGGATGTCGCCAATTGTCGTGCGTCTTCATGACCTTCTGGATGCTGCGGTCTGTAGCACTGGCTGCTTGAGGTTCAGCCGGTGTGGTTGCATTTTGTTGGAATTCAGCGGCGTTGCTTGGGCCTGCTGCGATGTCATTTGCCGACTCGGAGCAGATCCGAGACTGCGCATATATCGACGTCCCCTGGCCCGACGCAGTAAAGATATCTGAGAACGCAATCAGGTCGTCATCAGTAATCTTATGGTACCCAGTAGGGTAGCGTGCAAGATGAACGACAGTGCAACCAAGAGGGTTTGTCTCATCAACCTAAGAGCGTGTCAAGTAAGATATAGTTTTATTGCAAGGCGAACTTACATAGTGGTATAGACTATACACACTGTTCTCGCAGCTCACCACCGTCAGACAAGGCAAATTCAACGGCGGGGCAGAGAAGTCGAGCTAAACATTTGATTAGTAAGAAAGCGGGATGCAGTCGCTGTTCAACATACGAGCAAGACATAGCAAGGAACATCAGTGCGGGGGTTCAAGAATGGTGAGGCATGCAGCATGGGCGTCCGAATGTAGCCCACAAGACACAACTGCTCTCTAAGCTTTATAGATGTCAGTTTTACAGCGTGTAGAAGGTAAAATACTTTACATTGAGTCGGGCATGTGTCGGACACTACACCCATAATCAGATTACACCTTCAAGACATTCATACAGTACTTACATATAGAGCATATACCGTTGGCAGCGACCCCACCGCTAGATACCCTACAAAGTCCACGCTCATCGATGGGTCACCCTGGAAGAAGTGATAGTTAGGTTCATTCGGTGAACAATGAGAAGAAAACAGCTTACGGAGGAATGGATTACCGTGTCAATCGACACGTCGTAGATATAGTAGTCGTGGCTTGAACCATGTGCGCCGTGAAGTGGAACAAATAGGGACATGGACATGTTGTTCGAGAAGAGAGAATGGCGCCCTTGATACTTATAGTGTGCCAAATTAGGTCGTCGCTGGCCCATTAGTGTGATTGAGGAAAATAAACCTGTGCCATCAGTATCGTTGATAGAATTCACAATCGATGGCACTGCTCAAGTGCCATTGATCGTCTTTTACGTGTAAAATAATAAATATTGAAATGCGCCATCGTATGGGTATGCGCGCTAGTTTTCATAATCTAATTCTAAGTCGCTACCGTACATCCCATCAAAAGCAGATTCTAGTGATTCCTGACTTGTGCTAAAGTCTTGATCAAAACATCGCGAATCATCTTCATCGTCTTCAAATTC